TTGCAAAATCTGCATCCATCCTCAAATGGGTTCGTCAAGCGTACAAATTGTAAAATTCTTTAGATTCTTCGACACGTGGTGAATCCGATGCACAGTTCCTGGAAGGACTGGCTTCCACAAGTAGCAGAATCCATCAATGGATCTATCAATAGCTTTTCAGGAAAATAGCCATACTACATAATTTATGGTGCCAATAGATGCTTGCTCTATGATCAACTAGCAGGAACCCCACAACCTGTATGCAACATGGATGACCATGCCAAGAAGCAAATCAATGTTTTCACAGCATTCATGAAAAAGTACAAAAGCATTTAACAGCCTCACGTGCTGAAATGATCTGCAAGCAACATAAAAACCCAAGCCTGTAACTCCAAAAATAGGAGACGCAGTAACGACAAAAGCACCGGAACGTACATCAAAACTTTTGCCTAAATTCACAGGTCCCTACCTGATTAAAGGAAAAGAACATGGAAACAAATTTCATGTAGTTGACCCAACGACAAATGTCACTGACATAGTTCATGTAGATAGAATGATAAAAGTTAGCAGACACTTAGTAGGGACCCCTAATGTCCGTTAATTACAGCCTACTTCTACTACGACAGTTGCTCAACACAACAATAAACAATACATCATGACACAACAATAAACAATACATCACAACAATAGACAATAAATATCATCAAAAACTGTGATCAGCAAACAAAAAACATTAATTATCCTCACCCCTTTCAGGCATGGCTTGGATATCGCTACTCCTGTTGGCATGGAACGCTGTGGCAACAGCTGCATCCCCAGCAAACATCATCAAATCCAAAGCTTTAGTTGCTCCACTGAGCAAAGTACTTATAGTGGAAGATGTCGTAACTGTCAAGTACCAGCACCAAAGTTTAGTGATATATGCCTGAGGTCAATAGCTGTCCACATTGAAACAGCTATAAGTACACAAGATCTCAAACAACAGTCTACCATCTCACTTCATAACGCCTATATGAAGCGTCTACTCAAATGTGTATGCACTTGGAGGGAAAGCTGCCCACGACTCCTGAAGACGTCAGGAACAATGTGCATTCTCATAAAAACCGTGGTCTATTTAATTTTGTCGAGTTATTAAGTAACACCCTATTTGGTACGGCAACTGCAGAAGATGTAGCTAAACTAGGGAAACGAATGAACGCAGTTTCAGAAGCAGTCATGAAACAGAATAGGGCCATTGCACAGTCTTAAACAACAGTAAAAAAAGTAATCAACTAACATGCATGCAACTGAAGCCTCTGTGCAAGCTTTCACTGTTACCAATGATCGGCTCATAGCCGATTCAGTGAATGCAGGTCTAGTCATGTAGATGCACAACTATTGCCGGTTGGTCAATTTATTGCCGCTTTACATATAGCTCACGGTCGCTACCTAATGATACTGGACACAGAAATAGTCCAGGTATGAATCCCTGGGAAGGATCTCATTTACCTAACAAGAGTAGTGTGCACCTTGGTGCTAACAATCAGCTGCAGTACCTGTGTATATTATTATTAGTAGTTTATATATGCACAAAAATGAAGGTCAGATTTGAGTCAAACACCAAAAGTACACACGAAAGAAAACTTATTCTTATACCAAAAAAGCCAACCCACCAAACTTAACCTAACTTATAGGGAAATGAAGAGAAAACACGGGCTTAGTGAGGAGTATAACCTCAGGTAAACATGGCCTGCGGACAGTCAATGGATTAACCTTCCTTTTGTCAGAAAGTAAAAATTCACCTAGGAATCTTTTTCTTGTGTAATAAACAACAGAAATATGGTTAGTTATCATGACTTTTGTTATAGAGGATAATAAATAACACGATACAGTATGTCCACCTGTGCTTGACGACTCCACTACCTGTGATTGATGACCCCACACCTGTGTTGACGACGACCCAACATAATCTACTAAATTAACCATTAAATTCGTTTTATCTCGCCACAATATTATATATAATAAGCACTTGGCATTATAATTATTATATATCTGATATAATATTGTTATTAAATGTCTTACCAAGGGCTCAGCCAGTTGTTTCCTGGACTGTCAAATCGTTGTTTACACTCCCAGTCCGCCATGTTTGCTTCACTAGGTACGAGGCTTGGCACTCTTGGCCTCACGCACCTAAAACAAAAATAACAAAAGTTTATAATTTATTTAATCTGTACATTAATGTATAATAGAATGTGTTTGCATTAAGATAGAATAAAAAAATATGTTTCTATTTCATGGATATCCTTTTACATTAATGTTGATCTGTTGTGATACTTTACTGTAGCCTACCTAATTTTGCGAAGTAGATAATCATAGAAAACGGGAAATTTGTATCATAAAAAATGGGAAATATCTACTTTCCTGGAAAGTTGGTTATCTACTTTCCCGAAAAGTAGATAGATTTTCTACTTTTCGGGAAAGTAGATTATTACCTTTTATCCTCTTCGCCACCGATCGGCCCGCTAGCCGCTTGGGCGATCGGTCACGACTCTTTTCCTTTATATTCTTCACCAAAAGGTCGGCTCGCTAGCCGCCCGGGCGATCGGTCACGTCTCTGTCACGCACTGTTGGCAAGTACTGGGCTGCACCGGCTCCTGAATGTACCTGAACCCGCTCCAGTGTTGGTCAAGTCTTCTCTTGAAAGAGCTCACACTCGGTGCCGTCACAACACTCTCTGGTAGATTGTTCCAAGAGTTCACAACTCTCACTCCGAAAAAGTTTGCCCTCACAGTTTTCTGGACTTGTGGCTTCTTCAATCTTGAGCTGTGACCCCTTGTGGGGCGAGCGTCCGCCAGCTCCAAGTAAGGACACTCGACTGAGTAGTGCCCCTTGAGATGCTTATACACCTCAACTAGGTCACCCCTTGTCCGTCTGTAGTATAAACTAGGCAAGTTCAGGCGCTCCAATCTCTCAGGGTAGCTGAGGTGCCGAAGTGCAGGCACCACTCTGGTGGCCCTCCTTTGAACATTTTCAACCAACTGACAGTCCCTAGCATATCTCGGGGACCAGATGGGGTGACAGTACTCCAGATGGGGAAGCACTTCACTCCTGAAGATCGTCACGAGGGACAGACCGTCTAGATATCTGAACGACCTTCTTATAAGACCCAATAATTTATTTGCCTGATTTACCTTCTTCTCACAATGGCCCGAGAACTTCAGCTCATTGTCAACATACACACCTAGGTCCTTCTCACACACAGTCTCAACTAGTGCAGTTTCTTCATCCCGTTGGGACATATGATACGCCTCCTTACCGTTGGTACGCCCCAGGTGCATCCTCTTACACTTCGTGACATTGAATCTCAGCAGTCATTCCTTCGACCATTCCTGGAGCCCACAGAGGTCCTTCTGCAGCTCTTCACGGTCAGCTTGGTTCTTAATTTCCCGAAATAACTTGGCACCATCGGCAAACATTTGTATGGAGGAGTGTGTGTGGTATGAGGAACTCCAGAGACAACCATTTTGTGATATAGAATATTATTGATATGTATATGTATTTTTGTAAGCTCCGAGGAGGAAAACCTAAATATATTTTGTGGGTTTGAAATGGAATCCGCGCTAGAACGAATATGCATCCCAGCCGGGGGGGAGAGACGCCATGGCGTTGTTTACATCCCGGGGCCCAGTAGCAGGTATGTCCCACGTATTTCTTTGCTCTGTTAGAGTGTGTTTGATAGATTGAGCATAATAAATGTTATATGAAGAATGTGATGATCTCGTGGAGGTAGTTTGTAAGCCAGAATAAGGCTTAAGATGTCTGCGTATTTGTGACTGAATTTATTGACGATGAATTTAAACACATTCGTTCTATTGCACAGAAACTTGGGTACCCTTCTGTGTTTGTTGATCGTTGTTTTAAAAGGGCTAAAAAATCCTTTCATTCCTCTCAAACCAGACAAATTCCTACACTTAAGAATATTTTGACTGCCCTATCGTGATGAATTTGTCCCGTTAGTTCGGTCCCTCAAGCTACTAATTATTAATGTTGTTTTCAAGTATGACTCAACCATTACCAATATGTTAATAAGGAATAGCCCAAGTTTGAATGTAAATGGAAGTGTTTATTGTATTCCATGTAGCAAATGTAATTGTAATTATGTAGGACAGACAGGAAAAACACTGCAGCTCAGAATCAAACAACATAAGTATAATATCAGAACTGCATCTGAAAGCAGTGCCTTGTTCGTTCATGTTAGGAATAATAATCACCCCATTGCTTGGGAAAAAAGCTTAGAAGTATTCAAATCATCTTGTGTCACAGAAAGACTTCTGGTTGAAGCTAGTTTGATTAAGGAATTAAAATCATTAAACCTTAGTGATGGTCAGTTCAAAACTGATAATGTTACATAAATTCATTTGTCAGTGGCCCAAGGTTAAAAATGCTTTGAAAACCTTTGATCTAGATGTATGATAGTTATTTAGTGGGTCCCTTATTTTTGACCTGACCTGACTAGTCACGTCACCCCCCTTCTCTTAAGCTCCTCTACGTGTGTATTGGTGTAGGGATTAGTGGATCACATCATTTTAAAAGTACTTGTTGCTCTGCCAACTGTTGATCCTCGTCGTCTTCGCTCTTGCTATCGGTGGTGGTGTCACTCAGGTTACGCAACTCTTCCCTGGTGTTGGTGTTGGTATAGTCGTTCAGCAGCTTGAATTTTTTCGTAGAGAATGCAGCTTTTACATTACAGATTAACTCTTGGTCCATGGGCTGTAATATAGACGTAGTGTTGGGAGGAAGGAAGACCACTTTTACGTTGGGGTAACGATCTAACAGTAGGGGCGAGTGTCCTGGTGCGTTGTCCAGCAGCAACAAAATCTTGAATGGCACATTCTGTTGCTCACAGAATTTCTTCACATCGGGAACGAAACAGTCATCAAACCAGGAGAGGGACAGTGTAGAGAACATCCACGCCTTACGTGCGGTCAGCCAGTGGACATTTAGCTTGGTCATGTCCATGGTTTTGTAGGCGTGCGGCTTGCGTGCTGTGTGGATCACCGATAACTTGAGCTTACAGGTACCGGAGGCATTGGTGGTAAACAGGACGTTGATCCGCTCCTTCTGCAACTTCCGGCCCCGAATCTTGCTGGCATTCTTCACAACGAAGGTCTTGGAAGGTAGCTTTTTCCAAAAAAGACCAGATTCGTCCATGTTAAACACCTGGTCGTCGGTGTACTGTCCTTCCTCCATAATCTCACGTAAAAATGAAGGAAATTCCCTAGCCGCAACACGGTCAGCACTAGCTTCTTCACCACCAATGTTGATATTGGTGATCTTGTTCCTCTTCTTAAACCTCTGTAACCACCCAGAGGAAGCATTAAAGGGTTTGGGCTCTGTAATTCCCACCTTTCGTGACACTGCAGCATACAGTTCACGTGCGTACTCCTTAACTGAGCGCGTGTCCACTGCCATGTTCCGTCGCGCCTGACGCACCAAGTAGCTCACAAGTAATTTTTCCGTCTTGAGAAGCACCTGGTTGTGGAAATACTTAATCATAGAAGCACCTGTAGACTTTGTGATGTTCATGTGCTCCTTTATCTTGGCTGCATCCTTCTTAATTGTCCTGATCGTAGACTCGTTAACACCATGCTGGCGCGCGAGATCAACCTGTCTTGTTCCTTTCTCCAACTCTTGTATGATCTTATACTTAATTTCGTAGCTTAAGGAATGTCGTGTCTTCTTTGGCTTAGGGCGGCTGGGTCCAGGTAAGGAAAGGTTTCTCTCTGGGGGTGGTGGTCCAGCGGAAGCCATTTTACAGAACAATGGATGCACGATTACACGGTGTGGCCTGGAGGGATGAAACTACCGCGGCTGGGTCAAGCGTCGTCTTTCCTCCCTCCCGCGGGTGGACATGTCATATTACTTTAAACCAATCACAGCAAGCAGCGGAGGGAGGTAAGGATGCATGGTCCAATTACAGTCCTATACGTCATATGACGTCACTGATAACGCAACTAAGACACACACTGCGCAACCTACTCGTGCCGCTTACACAACATGGCGGATGGCGGGAGGTTTGGATCCAAAAATGGCGCGGCTCGCCAGCCGCTCTCCGCTTAAAGGGGTACACGGACCGCGGAATGTGAGCATTCCGGTTTCGGCAGGGTACTGCGTAAACTGGAAACGCGGAATGAGGGACCGCGTAAAGCGAGGGTTGACTGTATATATATATTTATATATATATAAAACTCCATTGTGAGATTCCTTTCTCACCTCCTTCCTTAGTGTGAGATCTCCTATATGTACCTATGTATGGGAGCCTAACAAAGAGAAAATAGACAAACACAAAGAGAAATTAGACAACTGGCCACATACACTACTCAACAAGACGACAATGATTTGCAGTGGCCAGGGCTTTGAAGATAAAGGAAACTGTGGGGTTAAAACACTAAAAAAAACACGACCACTATCTGGGGGTTTAGGTCAGTTACGTTAGTGTGCAACTCTTATAAGGAATGATGAAAAATTTAAACACCTTGTACTGTACCTGTAGTTGACATTGCTTGTAATGAGACATAGATATTTGGATGTTCATTTGACATTATCATATTTCAGCAAATCTTCATGTTTTCTGCAGTAGGAGAATTGATTTAATTGAACCTCAACTTTTTTGTTTAGTTCTCAAAAGATCAGTGCAAGAAGACACACCATATGTAGTTTTTATTAATGGTGATTATTTTTACGTGTAACTTCTTGTAGTCACTATATGATCTAATCGTAGGCATAGGTCATCTTTGTCTATATTAAACATTAAGTAATACTGAATATTAACTATCGGTGTATAATATTCTTGGGTGGGGAGCTTAGCTTAGGGACGGACTAAGTGTAATTTTTATTAATTTTACCCATATTTTACTTTTCAGGAGAGAGAGTACTGTACAGGTATACTACAGTATATTACTGATGTCTAGCAAAACCCAGCAAAAAAGAAGTATATTTGATGATTCTGATGAGCTGAGTGTCCCTATGAAAAAATCAAAGTTCGAGGCACAGAAAAAAAATGGCAGCGATTCCTCTAAAAATTGTGGTATTAGAAAAACACATAAAACTACTGGGAGGAAAACAAAGTCAACAAATGATAAAAGTCCAACAGAATCACCTCAGGAGTGTGAACCTTCTAAAACACCAGAGAAAGACCAGGATGACTCGGTCGTTGTGGCGAAAAAAGACAAACTGGTATTGAGTCCCGCACAACGCGCTCGGATGGAACAAAACCGACAACAGGCGCTACTGATAAGGCAGGACAAGATAAACAGAAGAAATCCTTATGTGAAAAATGAGTAAGATTTACTTACTGTATATTGTAAGCGAATATTTAAATTGGAGACTAATATTACTGTGACTGGATTATCCTTTCATTCTCATCCTTGATTACTGTACTTATCTGTGTGTTTGTAAAAGTTATACTGTATACCTTTAGACAGGGGGGACTAAAACATCAATCACAAACTACTATTAGACCGCAGGATGGGTAGTAGTAGTGTAGCCCATCAACAAGGATTCTACAGGTACAGTACATGGCACCACTGCCAAGCGCACAATACATCTAGAATTTAAAAAAAAAAATGCAATATATGTTATCTCCATTATTGGTAGCAACATTCATGACATGTTTTGTCTTTGCATCTAGCAATCATTTAGCAAGGAAGGGCACATTTAAAAAATTTGGGGAATATTTCATTAATAATGTCAGAAAATGATCCACTAATATAAAAATTCATCAAATTTCTCTCTCTCTCTCCATTTAAGACTCAAAATCTATTATATGTTGGAGGATAGGAAAAATTTTGCTTGTAGATCAGTTTGGATAACCATGGAAAAAGTACCTGTACAGTACATCCAGTCACATGAAAATCTGGCCACCCCTGTCCTAAGGTGGGTTCTATATAGTACTTCCCCTCACAAACTTTTTTGGGGCTGGACAAGAAGAAAATGCTAAACTAATCTTGATTGACTTCTAAATTTATTTTTATCATAATTTTTTTTTTCAGAGAGAAGAAGGACACGACAAAGGTACTGCAAATAAATAATACCAAGTTGATTGACACAGGAGCTGGATTTTTCATTGAGGAAAATGGAGAGCTTTCCAATGATGACATATTGGCAGGTGTAAGTAACATTCAGGTACTTTGTATTTTCCTTTAAAAACATCTCAGTAATAAGTATATCATGTTTTTGTTAACTATTTTCAATCAAATTGCCTTACTAATCCGTATTACTCTTTCTTCACATGTGAAGCTTTTTGTCTTGTACATCTTTTCCAGTTGATTTTATACATTTGCCTAAATTAATGCATTTCATGGCATCAAGAGTAAATGAAGAAGTATATTTGCTCTTAGTTCTGACCACTGTACCATTCATCATATCAGGAAAGGATTAAAGCATTGGGGAAAATAGTCACACTTGTATTACGGTTTTGTCAAAGATGTTACTTAATAAAATCAAATATTGTATTGTCTAAAACTAATAATACCGGGTATATTGGCAGATTAAGTTGGTCTACGAGCCAGGACCTCTGCTTGAGATAGACCGTCCACACTGTCTGGAATGTGAAAAGCCATTCGATAACTCTTTCCTCTTACAAAATTTTGATCATCCAACATGTGACAAGTGCAAGTGAGTGCATGAGCCATCAGGGCCCTTCGTGTGTACTACCTGGTAATTAATGAATATTTTAGGAGATTTGAAGACCTGGTGATTCTTATTTACTGTATATATATTAAGATGGAATGTTTTGTTGATGATTTTGAGATGAAATTACTGTACTGTACTCCCAAAACAAAGGTATGAGAACTATGCTTGAATTTGTTTATTTACAGTATTCATGAAATTACTAGTCTTACTGAGTTTTAGGTTCCTGTTTATTGCACAACCTAAAATATAGTTATCATTTCAGGTTCTTGGATCAAATACAGTAGTGACTTAAGACTTCCAAAGAGTCAGGCTGCTTCATAAGTTACATAAAGTTGTTTTTGAGAGAACCCAATGTCATTTTATTCCTCCACTTTCTTACATGATTCCTCCTGACTGTACAATGTCTCTTAATGTAACAGGGGCATAATACAGGTATACCCCCGAAGTTCTTGTAATACTGTACTAAATCTAGAACCTGTGTGTGTTTATAGTGTGTCTGTGGGCCTTAAAATTACTGTCATGATAATTTAGAACCTTGAACTGACTCTTAAACATGTACCTGTATAAAGCAAAACTTAAGTTGTGTTGGGATTGTTTCAGATTATTAACCAGAAAAGAGAGAGAGATAAAGATCAAAGTAGTGTTGTCAGAACTATTCACTAAGACATTCCCTTGTCTGTAAACCTCTAATAATTAATATTTTCAGAGAATCAGATGACAAACATGCTCTTATTCCAAAGACTGATGCCAGGAATGAGTACCTGTTGAAGGATGTTGACATTGAAAAACGAGAGCCACCATTGAAATATATTTTAAGGAAAAATCCCCACAATTCCAGATGGGGCGACATGAAACTCTATCTAAAACTTCAGGTGGGTATTTGTGAAATTCTCCACCCATTTTGTTGAGTAAAAGTAGTTAATTGAATAGAGAAAAGAAATGTGCAATATCTTTTCCAGTCCATCATACCTTCTATGTATATTATAAACAGAGTAGAGACTATAATGTTTAATGGTTAAACTTTATAGGTAGAGAAGCGAGCACTAGAGGTGTGGGGTTCTGAGGAAGCCATAGAGTCAGCCATGAAGAAGAAGGAAGATCAGAGTGAGTTAAGGAAACAAAAGAGGTTCAATAAGAAGATGAAGGGTATGTACACATCATTTACTGATCATTATAAAGAGTGCACTGTACAGTAAAAAAAAAATGAAATAATAGATTTTACAAATTATGAGGAAAACCTTCTCGTGAAGGAAAAACAAACAAACAAACAAAACAATGATACAGTACTTTTCCGTTATATACTCCAATCAAAATTAAAACATTTCGGAGTACCATACAAGACCGACACGCGTATACAGCTACTCCTTGACTTACTACCACCCGGACATACGACCGCCCCAGTCGTACCAAATTTTTTCAAATTACGTATTTTCAACTCCCAACGTTAGTGATTGCGCTGTGTACTGAAAAAAAAATTTTGTAATTCCCTTTAAAATGGCTGGCAAGCTTAAAAGTGAGAGTTTTGTGGTGCTGAGAAGAAAAAGAGACACCCATTTTAGATTTTCTATGTATTATCTTCGCATTTTCAACTTACGTCCTGGATTTGCGTCCCTAACCCCGCCGTAAGTCGAGGAATGGCTGCACTTATTTACAGTGAGGTGGGCGGTAGCATCCAATGGTGATATGTACGTCATACATATTCGTAAATGTCTGATAATTCAAAATTTTACCAAATATTACTTAAACTGTAATATAAATTTAATAATATTTCCAAAAATCTCTATTTTGAAATGTTACCAAATATTAAAAAAATTTTTAACATATATTTCATAACAACAAAACATTACATATTACGAGTGATTTCAATTTAGGGGAATACGAATTATGTTTTTTTTTTACTGTATTTTAATGTGAAGCTTTTGTAACATATTATAAAATAAGGACTTGAAGTTTTCATACTCACCCAAACTGTATCTAGGTTGTCTGCAGGTACTGTACTGTACTCCAGTTTACTCCTGTACTGTACGAGGTAACAATGGACAAGGAAGGATAAAGTTATCAGGAACAATGGGGGGAGGATTAAATGGTAGGCTTCCTTTCCCCATCAAAGCTGTAAATTAAAAAGTTATTATTACTGCCATTCTCATTTGTGCATTAAATACGCAGATAGAAATATTAAAGCTGATATATATATATATATATATATATATATATATATATATATATATATATATATATATATATATATATATATATATATATATATATATATATATATATATATATATATATATATACCAAAAATTACCCCCCCCCTCGTTTTTTAACTTGTGTGAGGTGTTTTTTCCCATTACTGTACTAAACTGTGATTGTATCAAGAGCACCACAGACTCTCCCTCACATACAGCCATTTATTCTTTTTAGGTCCCTCACTAGATCCATTTTGCTAAAACATTTGTGGTACGGTAGTAAGAACCAGTGACATTAGTTACAATGCCTTACCATCACACCATTTAGATTTTTTCATGTATAATTAATGCTAGACTTTATAACTCTACTCCTCTAAATTTAGTATTAATATAGTTATATGGTATTTATAACTGGCAGAACTAAGGATGAATGTAAGAAGCAGCTTGTACACCCGGGCCACCAAAAACCATGAACACGAGTATGATGAAGAAGTCTACCTTCCCGATGAAGACGAATATTCCCGCACCTGTAAAACTTGTGGTCACTCGTACACTTTTGATAAAATGTAATGTGATTTTTTTTTTTGTGCTCAGGATGGGTTAAGTTTTGTAAATTTAATAAATAAAAATAGTAATTATACAATATTGATCTAATTTATGGGAAATGCAAATTCATGTAAATTGAATTTTGTACTGTATAAGATATAAATTACAGTAAACTTGTATAGAGAGAGGTATTGCAGTGTTACAGACCATGGATGTGTACAATAAATGTCCCATACAGTATCAATGAATTTTATCTGGAAGTCACCATCATGCCAAGCTTCCATTTGTATCTTGATTATATTTTGTTGTCATAAAAAAAAATGACCAGTAGAGGACAATAGTTCTTGGACTCAACAAGCTAGAATAAACCCAAACCAACAATATAGAGTTGATGAGTTGTTTTACTTTACACATAAAAATACAGTACTGTAATGGCCAAAGCCTTGGTTTGGTATCAGTTAAGGATACTTTACTATACATTTAGGTAAGGTTTACCTTTTATGAAGCCAAACTCAAATGACTTAACTTATATTTAATGTGTAAAATGTTTTCGATGAGCACTAAGTTGGGACCAGTGATTTCCCAGATTCAAAATACTGTACAATATACTGAGGGTGTGAAAGCCTCTTCTGAACCCCTCCACCAAGGGGAACAACTTTTACTCGTGTATTTGGTTCACTCCAGATGATTTTATTCAAGGGTTTATAGAAGTACATTACCGATTCTTAAATCAAGTAGGACTGTGTCAAAGATGTATGTCACCGTGAATGTTTAACCTTTACCATCCAAGGATTCCCTCTCTATGTGCAAAATTGGAACACAGAAACATGGAACTTCCACTAGTGATGGCCGCCATCCCTACAGCTAACTTTCACCGACGATAGCCAACATTTAAGGGTCAGTATTTTCATATAGCTAGAATAATGAGACATGAGTGATGAACAGATATGCTAGTTTGGCAGTGGATGGGAGGAAAGTGAGCAGCTGTTTAGATGACACTACACTAGGGAGCAATTTGGAAGAAAAGTTCCAAATATCAGCAAATGAGTATTGAAGGGTAGGTGTTGGAAGACTGTTAAGTAAATGTGAATCAAGGCGATGGAAATCAAGTAAAGAAGGGAGATGGAGAAGTAAGTTGGCCTGCATGTAGATATGACTGAGGGAATATTTCAGACAACTGGGACTGGATGTGTCGACAAATAAAACATTGAGTCATATATTCAACCAGTGATTAGCAAGAGAGAAAGTAATACTGTACTGTAGTTAACATGAACTGAAATCAGGCTGTGCAGATTAGCAGTACTGTACCCAGCAGCCTAAACAAGTGATTTTCATGTCCTTGTGCCTGGCACAAGTTAATAGTTTGAAATGAAAATACCCAGACATAAATTTGTCAGGAGCTGCGTCCTGTACAATAGACATTTAACCAGTGAAGTCTGTCAACTAACAAGGTGATGGGTGGGGGACTGTTATTGCGTCTGACCTAACTATATCATGCTGTCACGACAGCTGTTTTCTGTTCCCACAATGACCTGACCCAATGAAGCCCAGGTGTGAGCTCCAATCTCACTGACATCACAGCAGAGCCCTCCTATTTCGATTGGTCTATTCTCACAAAGACATGACCAAAAATTCTGTAAAAACAAAAAAAAAGGTCTCAATGATTGCTGTCAGCAGAGTTGTGTTACAAATTGAAGTGAAATCAACATTAAGAAGCAAGAAAATTTACTGGGTGAAGGTATTTTAGGCTGAGAAGTAAGCAAATTTCCTTAAAAAAATTGTCAGGGAGAGTTTAAAAAATAGCTTGGCAAGTAAATTTGCAATCCACTTGCCTGGGACAAGTAAATATTCCACATAATCTGCACAACAAAAGAAAACTGTGACAAAGTAGACATAGATAGGGTATAAATCATGCAAGAGGAAGGAGCAAAGGTGGCAGAAATGGCAAGACTGGGAACAAATAGAATGTGGAAAAAGAAATTAAATAAGAGATGCAGAAGTGTTGGGTGGAGCAGTGTAGAGTACAGGGTTCCTGAGGAGGACGGGGAGTGAAACAATGGTAAAAAGTGTACAGTACATTATTTAAGTTTGAGGCAGCTAGTGGTTTTGAGGACCAACAAGTAGATGGAAAGAAAGTAAAGGAGTAGGATATTCAGAAAGCAGGAGTGTATGAATAAAATGTATTTACCTGTGTTCTTTAGAGTTATTATAATTTATGATATCTTTATATGTTGGGATTAGTCCTCAATAACATAAATACTGTATCATAAAGTATTAAAAAAAAAGTCATGTTTAAGTACGGTACTTTAATTGTCACCTTCACTACTGTTACGCCACTTTTAATATTTGATTTATTTATTCAGCTGACACCAGACGATTTTATTCAGCACAGTGGGGACCCAGTGCACAAGTGGTTAAGACACACCAGTGTGGTGTTCAGTTGTAGATTTCTCAACAAACCTATTTTAAATCCAGGAATTCAGGATTTTGTAAGTGTATTAGTAAGTCACAGACATAACCTCTGCATTGTTTTTTTATTTGGGTTTCTGATATTATTTTATAGGACTTTGTGATATTTGTTATATTGACCATGAAGAACCTGACTTTTTCTTTAAATAAATACTGTAGGGTGATATCTCCGTTACCCGGAACAAATGGTGCAAAACACTTTCGGGATTGAGAGATTTCCGGGTAACGAGACGACTCTAAGCCGGGAAAAAAAAATCCCTCATCCCCAGAATTTTCAGGGTGACAGAAAAATATTTTTGGAAATTCCAGAAATTGGGCATTACATCATCTTTCGAACCCAGAAAAATATTCGCCATCCCCGGAATTTTCTGTGTACCAAAAAAATTCTCTCGTAGTCTCCGGAAAATGCTCCTGATTTTCATCTCTCAAACCCAGAAAAAAACATCCCCAGAATTTTCCAGGTTCTGCGAAAATTTTCTCAGAATTTTCCAGAAAATGTGTCCCTCAGAAAATTTTAATTCCGGCTATCAGTTTTCCAGATTTTAAAGGATTCTGACTAACGGATACATTACTACTGTACTGTCAGTCTCGATTAACCTTTCTTTTAAACTACAGACGTAGACACAGTTTAGAAACCTGGAATAACCTTTAATACACAAGTTAACGTCCCCAACTGCTGTCCACCATTTGGCCACTTTTTCCCTTATCCAAAAACCACTTTCTGTACATTGTCTTATTAAACTTGTGCAAACCATTCTTCAGGGGTTCAGTATAATAATCAATAAGAAAACTGTGGACAGACAATAGGAGACCAATCATTTGGTCTCCTGTGGCAAGAAATAGAGAACTACAAGAACACCAATTTCATTTTATGGTCATTTTGAATGCTTACTCAGGGTTAGCTGTGATTACATAATAGCATGGTGTCCCAAATGCCATTAGTTTATAAAATACAGTATCAGTTGGCAAAAAAAAAAAAAAAAACTATGCAGAGCTGAACTAAATTTCCCTCCTTATTTAACCAATGTTTTATGACCATTTTCCATGCTGATAATACCAACCAGTGACCATGCACAATGTTTACTTTGTTTCACTTGCAATTATTTTTATGTGTTGCTGTTATGAAGTTTTAGATAAGTCCAGACATCAAAGAATTGAACTACCAGTGGAAATTAAGTTCACAGAACACTGGTGAACTTGTACCAGGTGCAAGTTGACTTACAAGATGCTCAAATTATAATTTACTGGTTTTAATGATAAAAACCATTTTAATTCCTCATTGGCAGCTGAGGGCCACCACTTGTGCACAAAAAATAAATGTGAAGAACATGAAACTACCACTGACGGCTGCCATCCCTACAGCTAACTTCCATTGATGATGGCAGCTGTCCCTACAACTAACATCCATTAATGATAGCAGCTGTCCCTACAGCTAACTTCGATTAATGATGGCAGCTGTCCCTACAGCTAACTTCAATTAACAATGGCTGCCGCCCCATCAACTACCACACCTTCCACAGTTGAAGGCCACCATTTAAGGGTCAAACATTTACAGGGTATCTTGATTCAGTTCATCATATATAATATAATGCTTTCAAGTTTATTTATGAATAATTACATGTATTTATACAGTAATTTCTCTAATTAACTGATCTCTTGTTCGTAGGTTTTCTAATTAATAGATGGCAATACTGTACTTTACCCAAATATTAATAACAATACATTAGGCCCAGCATCACTTCATATGATGCTAAGACCACAGGACCCTGCATGCTGGTGGGTCCGAGTCCATTGCAACGTGCTGACTGGTTGACTCGGAATGTAAGGAGAATAACCAGTTCACAGAATCCTCAGCCCCAATTTTAGCTATCTTGTTTGTATTGTGATTCTAATATATGTTTGTGCAAGTAGTAATAATCTTTTAGTTACAATAGACTAATTAGAGAAGAGTATCATAATAGGGGTAGCTTTAAATGAGCGAAGAAACACTGCCCCCTTGCACCAACTAACGGTTCATTCTACTTGTACTGTTACTCGTTTTTTTCCTAATTGTCACAATTAAAAAACAAAGTTAACACTAAACTACAATTAAATAATCAGTTTCAACAGCAATCAAAGTTAACTAACAAGTATAACTACATGGACAATCCTGTGGCAAATACGTTAACCAACGGTGATATTTTCATGCTAATGGTTATATGTGCATCACTCCACTTTAAACAACATCAGGTAAACAGCTATCGTGAAACAGAGAAATAGGAAGGAAATGTCACTATGAAATATGACTTCTGACTCTTTTTATATGGGCTACATTTCGGTAGTAGTAGTATGCATAAACCCAAACTGAGATGTTTCACGAATAATGTATCTGTCCACAAGTTCCTGATATACCACAAGATGCAAAATGGATAAGAAATACAAATTACAAAACTGACTTTTAATGCTAGGAATGATCATACATCATGACATATTACTTTTGTTCCCATTGTAGAAAACTTGTACATGATTAGTCTTGCCATTCTATTAAAGTAATGCTAATTATAATCCCTACACTGTTAGTTGTCTTGTAGCATACAACTCTCAAATTCATGTGTTCAATGGGTATGGTAGGTGCTTGCAACAATATAGCTTTAGCAATCTAAGTCATAAAAAGGAGTAATATTTGAAACATTTGTAAATTACTGCATACCCATTGTACACGTGATAACATACGTAGGGTATCATCATTTGGGCAACATATGAGAAAAATGTTCAAATAAAATTATAAAAAAATTTGTCTCCCCAGTCTGCTGCTTTCCATTATTTTGTTTTAGGTCTTACACTGTAACTTCAGCTTTCTATATTCAATGGAAACTGTTTCTTCCCCAATTACACATGATATAGAAATCAACAAAATAATTCAAATAAAATTTTTTACATAACTGTCTTAGCTAAATTGGTTACCATGATAAACTTCACAAATACTGACCATTACAAAATTATTTCTCATTTTTTCCTTTGCTTACAAAATAAAATCGAAGTATACTTAATGAGAACAGTAACTAACTAAAATCAATCTATTTTATAACTAGCAACGGTCTGATAAAAAGATCCATAAAGACCATTCCTATTTTTGACTGATAGAGCGTAGGTCGAATTTTTTACCACGATCTTCATAGCCACTGCTTTGGCCTTCCTCACTCATCTGCTTCACCATCTTCTGTTGACAAAAGTTGCAAGAGTAAAGCTTTACTTTGTGTTGTAAGATTAAGCTTTATTTAATCTGGAGCTGTAAGATTAAGCTTTCCTTATTCTTGTGTTGTAAGATCCAGCTTTACTTTATCTAGTATTGTAAGATTAAGCTTTACTTAATCTATAGCTGTAAAGTTAAGCTTTATATAATCTACAGTTATAAGATTAAGCTTTCTGTATTCTGGTGCTGTGTGATTAAGCTTTCCTTATTCTTGTGTTGTAAGATTAAGCTTTCCTCAATAAGGAGCTGTAAAGTTAAGCTTTCCTTAATATAGTACAGTGACCCCTCCATTAACGAACTCAATCCGTTCCAGAAGGTCGTTCGTTAACCGAAACCATTGTTTCAATGGGTTTTTGGGTAATTGGTTCCAGCTCACCGAAAATTTCCTAAATTCAAAAAAAATGGTAGAAAAGTTCACTTAATTTGAGGTGTGTATGTAGAAGGCTCCTGGATGATGATGATGATGGGAATTAGAATGGGGGTGGAGGAGAAGGAAGAAGAAAAGGCATTGGGGTGGAAGAGAAGTCACCCCATGGCACCATTTCATCCATAAAATTTTAGTTCTCTTGGTGTATTTCAAGATTATTTTCTTTATATCAACACGGCACTGCATTATATATTGTCAATATGTAAAATATATTTCAAAATGACCAATAATTTGCTTGGAAACACAGAAAAAAAGCATTTAGTTGAAGAGAGTCTCAAACAAGATGTTACCTCCAGTGAAAACAGAGAGAGACTAACTCCTGTTTGCTGTATTAAGAGGCTGGATGCCGCGCATTAAACTTGTCACTTTACCTTCAATTATGTTCAATAATTGTTAAAATGACTAAAAAATTGAATATTAAACTTTTAAAATTATTGAATAGTATAAACTTCTTGATATTTACTAAAATAGTAAGGAATTTAAGCCCTAGAACCGATTAATGTATTGGCGGACTGATACTAAAGCTGGTTGCCCGGTCAGTGCAAGCGAAAACATGTTGAGGTCGGTTCGTAAGAACTTCGTTAACCGAATTTTTTTCGTTAACCGAATTGAAGATCCTTATGGAAGGCAGTTCGTTAATCGAAATTACGTTAACCGAGGTGTTCGTTAAACGAGGGGTCACTGTACTGTGAGATTAAGCATTCCTTATTCTAGGACTGTAAGATTAAGCTTTACTCAATCTAGAGCTGTAAAATTAAGCTTTCCTTAATTTAATGCTGTAAAATTAAGCATTCCTTATTCTAGTGCGTTACTTAATCTGGAGCTGTAAAATTAAGCTTACCTTAATCTTGTGCTGTAAGATTAAACTTACTTAATCTGGAGCTATAAAATTAAGCTTTCCCCAATCTAGTGCTGTAAGATTAAGCTTTACTTGATCTGTGCTGTAAGATTAACTTTCCTGATCATACTTAACAAGCCTCTTGCAGCTGTCATGTGCTAAACAGCAACACAATGACTTCATGCACAAATCTTCCTTACTTCACACAGTTCATGAAATAACAGTGGGAACCAATGCTAAAATGAACAACAGTATGTTTACCAGGTAGAAGAACTGAACAGGCCACACGCACCACTTTCTATTGCAGTACAGTGATCCCTCGGTTAACGAATTACCTGATGACTTGCAGCAATTGGATGAGATGTTGGAGGCTGACAATGGTGAGGAGGAAAGGGAAAGTGATGACCATATGTCTACTTCAGATTTGAAAGATGTTGTTCACCACTGGGAGATGTTCAGGAAACTGGCTTCAAGGCACCCAGATGTGGAAACAACAGAACCTATTTTGTGTAATGTTGAGGACAGAGTGGTCTCCTTCTTCAAACATCAGTTAATGATGAGGAGAAATGCCCCACAACCCAAAATTGACAGTTTCTTCACTAAAAGACATCGGGAAACAGATGCTACCCCTCAGCCTTCCACTTCAAGAATGAGAGAGGATGTTCCTGCTGGAGAATCTGTCAATCCAGAGGTTCCTGACATTTTCATGGAAGGTGACTCACCATCCAAGAAGCAGTAAAATGCTTCTCCTCCACCTTCCACTTCAAATTCACATCATCATCATCATCCAGGAGCCTTCTACATACACACCTCAAAGTAAGTGTACTTTACTGCATTTTTTTTTACTTTAGGTAATTTTCGGCGAGCTGGAACCAATTAACCAAAAACCCATTGAAACAATGGTTTCGGTTAACGAACAACCTTTTGGAACGAATTGTGTTCATTAACCGAGGGACCACTGTATTTGACATTTTTTAGTCATTTTCTCCACACACATGCACGTGCACAACTTACAACACTTTATTCTGTGTAGTCTCTGTTACCTCTTGATCCATGAGATGACTGTAGAGATTATATACTATAAGTAAATAGACTAAATTGCCAAAGTCTTCAGACACTCAGGGGCAGTTAGGTACCGTATCTTCAAATTTTTATTCTCCTTACTGATATTGCATGCACCAGTCTGTTTTTGCGACCTCTTTTAGAAGTGAAGATTTTCTTGAAACCAATCTTTGCAAAGCATTTACTCTGTCAACCATGATCAGGGTACATTAAATCAATCTAGACTATAGTTCATGCATTGTGAGTCAACACAAAACGGGTATACATGGCTCACACTCTAATACCTGTACCATGTTTCAGAACTAAAACCTGAATATCTTCTTGCCAAGTGAAATTTTATGGCACACTACATGTATTACGAGAATGAAAACACTTTAGGAACATAACAAGGCACTCGTTATTAAAGAACTCAAGGAACAAAATGAAGCACCAGTTAAAAAGCACTCCGTATTAAAGCAGTAAAGGAACCAACTGTACCACCGGTTATTAAAGCACTGAAGGAACAAAACAAAGCACTGGTTATTGAGGAAGATCACAAGCTTCAGTTTTTCCAATTTCCAACAAATTTCTACCCAGATACTCCTCCCACACAAGTCCATTGTGTCGGTATCTAGTAAACCTACTCTATCTAGAGTATAATTCAAAGCAAATCTTCTTAAATGACCTTCACCTTCTGCCTCCTCCTCCTCTTCTTCTTCCTCAATCTCCACCGCCAACACACACAGGTATTCCACCTAAATCTACCTCTCTCTCCTTTTAATCGAAAAATCTGTAACATCTCAATTTAGATTTCCTTACCTTCCCCTTGTGCCTCCACTTCCTCCTCTTCTTCTACACCTTCTTCATCCACCTCCTCAATCTCCTCCTCCACCACCACCACATTATCATCCACTTCTTCATCTTCTAAGTCAGTCTCATCCTCGTTGCCTTCACCATTCTCTACTTCAATATCCGGCACCAGGAAATACTGCAGGGGATTCGGCCACATGTCATCCTTGATGACCTGACAAACACAAAACTCATTAGTCTGTTAAGCCACACAAATAATATCAGCCTCCAGCGAGACAGCTTTTTACCATCATTACTACAAGGTAGTTATATCCAGCACAGGGTGTCTCAGAAAAATGCATAAACACTGTTGTATAGATATTCCTGGAGACTACGTAAATGCTTGTACAGTACAGTAAAGTACTGCACATGCAACATTGCCCTCACTTGCTGGTGTGCCATGTCTTCCACAACTGAACACAACATTCCTGTAGTAACACAATCTTCACAAAAATCTTTTAAGGTAGTGTGGAGAAATTTTTTTGAGACTCCCTGTATTAAAGGAATCTGTCTCACCACTGTTCACTGTAAAAGTTGTGCCACAAGAGTTTTATTATTAAAGTATGCCCCTTCCACAAGTCTAAGATTTCTTTCTGATTTACTACTGTCACTTCATATACCCCCACCACCATGCACCACCACACACCTCTGAGAAATGGGTGATGACAATAAGGTAGGAAGATGAAAGAAAAATACAGTGCATACTATATTGATCAATGGTAACTTGTAGCAGTAAGGCTACAGGAACAAAACATCACAACCCATTTTAATCTAAAAGTATATTTTAATATAAGAAATAGAAACCATGACCATCTTTTATTCCCAGGATTTATTACACCAAAGACAAAATAATATGCCCAAAAACTGTTAAGCAATACAACTGCTTTATTATTACAAAATATTATTACAGAGATAAGTCATTAACAAGAAAACAACTTACTTCTGCAATTTCATCAGCCGATGGATCTCCGTGGTCAGAAAACCAGGAAAAGAATGACCGAAGTTCCAAGGGACGCTTCCGCCCCGTCCCACCTCTCTCCCCTTGTTGCATCCTCTGTCGAAACCGTTCAACGAGGTTGTGTCCCTCCTTCCATTTAATGTCTGTTGACTGTGATGCAGGATCACCTGGTGATATACTATTCATATGAACTATTTTTCTTCATTGGAAATAAGAGAGAACTGTATACCATTAATATCTTGCTTAGAAACAAGTGCTGTAGTCAAACACTGGGTTATGTAAAGAGTACAGTCCAGTACACAGCTGGACAAGGCAACAGATGATAAGTACAATACTAAAACAAGTGTTGCCTGAAGACCAATGTACAGCAGTGCATTATTACTAAATACCTGTACTACCATAATTATCTCCCAGTACTGATTTAGATAACACATTCCTGAAATATGACTAATTAAAATACTGTACTAACATACAAGAGGATATCATTCATCACTTCCAATAAGGACCAATACTTCCATTACAGCACAAGGTCTTCTATAATTTGTGATGGTGAGCTAAAATGACCCTTGCATAAATATGGTCAGTAACATATAGAGATTGTAAAAAGTAACATTAGTTTTGAATATGGTCAGAGCTGTCACAAAATACTGTTAAGTAACAGTGGCAGCTTATCTTTAAGTGTTAAAGCTTTAAAAGGAATATAGGACAATACAGTATATTCAATTCCAAACCATTTCTGTCAAAGCTTTATTTAATAGTTTTTGATAAATTAATCTTAGGTAATGGCAACAGCTGTGACCTTGAATGGGACTAAATAACACCAATATATTCTTACTTTACTTATACAAATATATCCATAATTAAATTTTCCTGAACAGTTCAATGGAATATGAACTGTGCAGTTAATAATATAATATAAAATAAGTCCTGGTGCAGGTACAGTATATGTAGGGTTATGAAAACTATTTATAAAGGCTACCACTACATGCACACACATGGTGTTGGTGGGGATTGAGGTCAAAATTATTTATTGATCAAACAATAATTTTTCTTAATCTCATGAGGGTTAGGATTGCTGCTGATATAATCTGATGATTAAACACCTTTGATACTAACTTCCCCCATTCATTGTTTAATCATGAGGTGATATAAGTAGTGGCTCCTAATCTCCCTTATTTTAACACAGAAACTGTCAGCTCTTCAACAAATGAACAGAATACAATGTTACCAGAGCTTCTCATCAACCTATGAATCACACTCACCTGTTGAGCCGAGATGAAATTCTTTTGTAAGAACTTCATTTTCAAAGTATGGATTTTCATCAAAATGGAATTTAATTCTGGAAAATTTAAAAAAACATCTTCAGTGTTTATAACATTACTGTATACAGTACTTGACTGGATATCAATATACAGTATAACAAGACCACAATATGTGAAGTTCAGATAAACAAAGTGTGATAACAGACCTAGTGTACATGGGTTAAGACATTACTATACAATAAATAAATAATAATCATCATTACACAAAACAGACAACCAGCTCACCTGTAGCCTGACTTAATATCATCAAACTCTTCTACATCTAATTTGGTCAAATAATGTAGGCATTCTTCCTCTTCTTCTTCAAGAATAGCAGAAATCTGGGGATGGTTTACAAACTGCAAACACACACGTTAAGGAAAACCCTGGGAATATTATGACTGAACCATTCTGCATCACCCGAGAATCTCCAAACTATTCTACAGCTTCTGAGAATCTTATTTTACCCACCACAATTAGACTAAAATATGAAGAGATAAATATGGAGTAAATGAATTAAAAAACCCATAATAAGTCAAACTAGGTTCAAACTCCCTACTATTATATATATAAAACCTTCCTTACTTGTTCTGAGATAAAATCCATCAGGAATTTAACCAAAATTTTCCTTCAGTATTATAAGACAACCAAAGGCTAATAAACTCTACCATATACAGCTATACTGATAATAAAGTGTTGCTCGGCATTCAGCAAACAAATCTCATTTCTTAACTTAATGTCCACTGATAAGCAGCTTAATGTGATTACAAGCAAATATCTCTCAGTAAGATAATGAATGCGTCGTAAGAAAAGAATATCACATTTAGTGGTTCAGTGTCAATTGCCGGTCAAGAAAAATCATTATAAGAACAGTAACCAGTAAGGTGCAGTACTATTCTTACTTATAATTCTGTGTCAAATTTGAACTTACCACAGGAAGTAAAAGGATAAACATTAAACAGTGACTAAGGATTACATAATCTGCCCCAATATACACACAAAATATAATATAAAAGGAACATGAAACATCCATAGATGTTAGCCACCATTCCTATAGCTAACATCCTATGATTATTTTCACTTTTTGTCTACCGTTCATTAATTGGTCGATGCTGACCCTAGAATACTGAATTAAGTCACTGGCAAACCTAGCCTAACCTAATAGGTATGGAAATGACTAAATTTAGGTCATCAGACTCAACCAATTAGAACAAATGCCAAACAAAAAGTGCAAATAATAAAGGTCCTTGACTGGACAAATATCTAACCACTTTGAAAAGGAGAACTGGAAAAGCTATTGGTTAAGATTTGTCTTAACTACCTTGCCAGTTTCTGTAGAAAGAGTTAATATTTCACTATTTGGACTTTACATACAGGGGGTCCCCAACTTATGAACACCAGCCGATACCAATGAGGTTAAACTTGAAATTTACAGAATTTTATTTACCTGATGACTTAATTTTTACCTTCATTTACTGTATTTTGTCATTCTATTTCTTCTTTTGTCTTAAATTACGTGATTTTAGATGTATATAAGGACTTAGGCTCTGATATATTGGGATTTTAAAACTGTTTTGTAATTACAGTACATTATGCATATAGTAGCACGTGTTCCGACTTATGTACAAATCTGACTTAAGAACGTCCTCAGGAACGGAACCCGTTCGTAACCCGGGGACCCCCTGTACTGTATAGGTTATGTTACGTTTCAACATTCTTGGATGGTCATTATTTTTTAGGTAATATCGAATGTTTAATTATTTACCGTTAATACCGTATATGTCGCCCTACAAAGCCACGGGGTGTATAAGACGGCCCCCATTTAAAACATAGGTTTTGAGCTATACTCGCTGTATAAGACAACTCTGACACTGGGAGCTTACTGCCCCAGTATTCCTTTACCAACCAATCCACTGACCAGTGGAGTGATGCTGTTAAACATACTGCTAAGCAACACATCATTGTTTATTTAAAATAAGGCCAGTTCACTTCAAGTAATGGCACCAGCTGGTGTAGTGTAAACACTGGTGACGTCACTTAGGCATCGGTTATTTTACCGGAACTAATGTCGGTGCCTAGTAAAATTTTACCGTTTACTTGAAATGGATTTACTGATTTATTTGTTTATTTATTTAATTATAATATACTGTAATATATTAGAAATGTAGGCATAAAATACACTGCAGGTATTTTCTTTAATTTATAAACTTGCTTCGCGAGACGATCGGCAGGACTGGCCATTTGTTTACTTCGGCGGCAGTTGCAAATGGCTGGCAGTGCGTGATGATACCTGCATTTATTACGTTGTTATTTTATGGTATTTACTGTATGTTAGACAGGTTTATAATACATTTTTATCATTTTAATATACCGGTAATCTTATTTTTAATCCAGCTTCCAAAATGTAAATTTCAGTATAAAATAATTAGTAATAATAATAATAATAATAATAATTAACGGTTTATTGAAAAAATTCTGCAGCCCGAAGGACCATGGGATTAAGGCGAGTGTTTTACGATGTTTTCCACCACCACTGGCGACACACTAAACCACAGGATGTAGAGGTTCGGATTTTATACCCGGAGTTTAAGACGACCCCTAATTTTGAGCTGATTTTTTGGGGGTTCAAATTCCGTTAACAATAAATCTGAAAAATTTGTAGATTTTCAATAAATGTTGTGCGATTTTCTTTGAAAGTATTAATGTGGACAAAATGCCATAGAAGTAAAGTGTCTTAGAATTGTCTAAACTACTGATTAAAATAATATTAATAAAAAAATATAAGTCGCTGGATACCCGAAACAATAATAGTACCGCTGTACCTATATTATCAAAAAAAGGTAAAGCTGTAGATAACGGCGACCACCAGAAGGAATTGTCCGAGTTGGTTGAAAATGTTTCTACACAATAATATCATATTAAACACAGAAATAGAAACGAAAATTAATTGAACCTGACCTAACATACCCATAGGTAGGGTATTTTAGGTCAGGTTCTATGTATTATCGTGTTAATTTATGTGTTAAACAACTTCCCTTAATATTGAGGTTGATATAAATCATCAATGGCGAGGAGAAATTCGTGGAAGCGTTCACCATCATTTATAGGAAACGTCTCTTGAAGAGGGATTCAGCGAGGTAAACAACAAAAATAGTGCCGGGAGGAGGTTTGTAAAACGGGATAGAGTAAATAAAAAAGTACTTAAAATCATAATAGAAAGTTGTCGTTTCTTTTAATACGTATACTTAAAATCATCAAAACGATAAGTACAGCCGAAATAAAGAAAATCAACAAACAACTTCTGGTGGTAGCCATTATCTACACCTTTACCCCCCACCCCCCCCAAAAAATAAGGTAAAATATGAAGCTTTAAAGCTAAATTTTCCTTCTTGTCCTGTGGATTACTATAGTAGAAATTAGCCATAAACAACGGTTTACCAGTTGAGAATAGAAAACACCTCAATACTGGGTCAAGGAGCTGTGATGTTTTATATATACTTACCCATAAACCTATTCAAGAATACATAAAACACTATTTTAGTAAAGACATGTTGTCAGTCTGATGCAACATTAGCAGCCACGTCAATATTATACACTATGTATCTTTATTTTTCTGGCTAAATAAACGGTTTTATAATCAATATACCTAAGCTGCACCATGTGACTTATTTTACCATACAAGAATGTGGGTCCTTTCTCAGTATAACTTCCTACACATATCATAAACCACCACGAGACACAAGTGTTGTACGTAACATGACTATATGTGGTGCAGGCAGCATGAGGGTCCCTCACACCGGTACAACCTCCACTAAAACTTTATGAATGTATATAATAATAATTTACATCTCAGCACTCATACATCACCAGTAATAAAAGGATACGGCTGTCACCCAGAAGTTGGGAATCCTCTGGATAATTTTGCTCCGGTTCTCGAAGTTTGGTTTTCTTAGTTTGTTGTACTTCTGTTCTACCTTCAAGATTTCCTCACTTGCTTTTTCGTTGAGTTGATCAATTTCATTCTGACAAGAGTCTATTTCCTCCAATGCTCTTTGGGTCTCTGGATCATACTCCCGCGTCTCGTGTACTTCCTCTGTCGGGTCCATCTTCTTTATCTTAGCCGGAGAGGCGCCCGATTCTGACATTTTTGCGTAAATGAACTGCACACAGGCGCTCCTACCACAGCTACACGAGGGAATGGCAACAAACTGTAAACACAACACAGCTTCCTGGCTAAAATGGACGCCAGGCACATCCGCCGCTCCTATTGGTTAAATCGCCACGACTGACAACACTGAATGCCAAGATGACCAATAGCAACCGTTCGCGCTCCACCACCAGCCAATCAAGTTCTTGAGTGTACGCGGGCAAGGACGGAATTCATTCTATTTTCTGGCTGCGGGAAAACTGAGAATTTGAAATATTATCCTGACGATATACTGAGTTCTTATGTCATATACACCACTAACACTATCAGAGTAACACTGAGGTCATCGACTGTGGCTTTTGATGTGTGAAGCGTCATGCACTCATATTAAATCATAACTAATGTCAGTGTTAGTATAGGGTTGCCATATCTGAACATTCAAAAAAGAGAACGCTCCCGAAGACATCCCTCCCGGCACACACAACATACATGGTATATAAATCTTAAAAAAAAAAAAATTACCTTTGCTTAAGGCTGAACATCTTATTCTCTTAGCTGCAGTCTTCTTCCCCCACTGTGTGTGTGACTTGGTGTGCCCATGCATACTTTTCTGTAGATCTTCTTCAGTATTGGCTGATTGCTCTTTAGAATGGTATAGAAGTCACTGCAAGGTGTTTCTCGGAAGCTGTACTGTAGTCAGAATGCCTTTCATTGTTTCAACACTCAATTTGTTCCTTTCCTTTGTCCAATGACTTTGCATCAGTGAAAAACCCTTTCTACATTTGCATTGTGAGATGATATAGCAAAGAAGAATTGTGCAATTCTTAGCAATTCTGAGTGGCATTCAATGTTTTTTGATTTTTCAAAGTATCTGGTCCACTTTTTGTGTTGGCAGATTACTAAATTCTTCATCACTTGTAATTTTCCACAAACTGCTTCAGGTAACTAACTTGGTCAAAACACATCATCAACTTCTACCCCCTTATCAATCAAATATTTGACAGCTAAGTTGACAACACCGTACAGGCGTACAAGTGACTTATCAGCTGACAAAAACTGAACGAGATCTCTACGGTTTCCACCTTCTCTCTCTCTCGTCATTACAGTTTCATGTTTTTTTCCGTGGAGAAAATGATGGAAGTTGAAATTCCGGACTTTTGAAGAATTTTAAAAATTCCTTCCGGATGAAGATTTCGAGACCTAAATGAAGGACATGTCCGGGAAAATACGGACGTATGGCAACCCTGTTAGTAGCGTAGTGGATACTGGCCACATACACTATGCTACAGTAGCCTCAAGTATAACATATTTGTCATAATACCTGTAATATTCTAAACAATCCCAATCAGGTTTTAGTAGCTCTCACCTATCACTTACTTTATATCATGGAGTTTATTTAGGCTATCAAACCTGACTTGACTCTTGTGCCAATATACTGTGTCAACTGAGTTGGGACAATGTACTTACAGCCCTGTGTATGATATTGGTTTCCACATGTTACGAGGCTGCGTTAACGACATCAGACAGCGAGCCCACCCTGCTACCGGGGGAGGGGGTTTAAGCCGCCACCCTGCAAATTTTTTTGAAACTGACCAATTTCATGGGCATTTTGAGGCCATGAGCACATGTTATTAAGAAATATTCTGAGGTCATTAGTAATTACCTTTTACTATACAAAAATGCCTGAGTACAATACTGCATTAAAAAAAAGTATTGGAATTTTGATGAACAGGGGTGCTCCGGTAGGGTGGCCATTTCCAAATTTCCAAAAAGGGAGGGATTTTTTTAATTTTTACGACACTTGTTTTTAACCTAAATTAAACATATTTAATGATGAGTTGAAATATAAAAAAAAATTGTATAAAATATACTTAGAAGTGTTGATTTGTCAAATATCACTATAATGTAATGAAGGCTATTTTGTATTTTTTCAAAAACTTCATTTTTTTAAACGCACTGTATGTTACATACATGATACATGCATTCATACAGTATAAATAAAGAACTGAAAGAAATGAATATTCATTTTTACTGTGTACAGTACTTGATTGATGATAGCTTGACTCGTCTGTACACGTACACTGTGGAAGAGTGGTGTTGCCAACGGCAACTACATGAAATTAGAATTAAAATACGTCAATTGTTATTATGGCCTTCAGTTCCCACTGTTTTAATATACGTATGGTAATTTATATAATTCTTTTTAGACAGGCCCAAAAGAGGACAAAATAACATCCTGCTTGAGGTGGCGCAGGACGGAGGACAGAGTGCTGAAAAGCAGGACTGTCCTGCCTAAAGCATGACATCTGGCCAGCCTATTTGACACAAGAGTCAAGTCAGGTTTGATAGCCTAAACAAACTCCATGATATAAGTGATAGGTGAAATAGTTACTAAAACCTGATTGGGATTGTTTAGAATATTACAGGTAGAGTCCAGTTCCCCCCTGGAGTGTTTAACCTCCTGTGGTGACAAATAAGAAGGTAAGGTACTGTACATTTTCCTCATCATCATCCTAAGAGTTCTTAACCATTATATCACTTATCTTCCCTTTTGCAGACATCACTGTTACCCTACTGCTCTGTTGATTCCACCACCACCACCATAAACTTCCCCAACATCAACTCATACTAAATTTGCTTGACAAGTGGACATTTGTCCTGTAGCACAAACCATCTACTTTCATAATTGTCAGTTATCCCTTCTGTCAACAGTGTTGCCCTTTTACCTCAGGTTAACCCCTTCAGGACAGAACACCACTTTTTGTATATTATTTGGCTAACACCAGATGATTGTATTCGGCACCAAGACACATTAACACTTGCCGTACCTACTTTTTTTATGTATAAACAAATGTTTGAATCGGCTTTTAAGGGATGAATCTCTCCTTTCGTACATGACATGAAGCTCTACAGAAGCAGTGCCTACAACTTGTGCCCTGAATATCCACTCACTGGTTAACATGATTCACTGATTCAAGGTGAACTGTAAGCAATGTTAAAGTAACATATATTGGTATACTGTACTGACAAACAATGCGTCATACTAATATTTTATTCCGTATTTACACTTTGTGATTTACACATCACGAATAGTTTCAAACATCTTAAAACTTAACAATCGCAAAACGCGGGAGGTGTAAAAATAGAGAAGATACACAGTGAATAAAACCAGAAGCTACTTATCTTAGAATGCTCCAGAAATGACCTTAGTCAAATTTAAAATACAAAAACAGTATAATAAAATACTACATGTAGAATTGTAGCTAAAATAATCTCTTTAAAACTACATCAATCAAATAAAATCTGTAAAATATCTCATAACATTTGACTTGCCTGAAGAGCCAAACATATTACAACAGGTAAATTACACTACTACAAGACAGGAAACAAAAAGACATAAAAAATACAATGAACTGATACAACAGGTCATCTCTGCAGCCCCTAAGGATGCTGAGGATAAAACAAGAAAAATCCTTACCTAACAATATTTGCACATGGGTAAATGCCAGAAAACAAAGAGAAATGAATTTTAGGTGAGATCATACTTAATATTCACATAAGAAATATACAAAAATATACAAAGGAATTAAAAAAGAGTACATCCATCCAAATAAATAAGGAAATAAACTAAGGTTAAGAATCAATATACTGAAGCATGATGTGTAAAATTGCTAACTTCACCGTGCCATTAACACTGGTAAACACTGAGGATGCAATGACAAAAGGTGGAATGCTGATCATTATTTTTTTTTTTTAATATTTGTTAGTTTTTGATTGGTAAGTTTAAGTTTCTAAGGTTTACTGATGTGTTGTACTACCAAGGCATATCAGCTTAAATTCAAATACTGTACAGTACTTCAGTTTCATGGGCTGATATTCAAGAAAGTATAAAGAATATTTCTAATTGCAATTGCCTTTGTGTATTTTATATATACTGTACTACATTATTAGGAGACTTAAAACTAGATTTTGGTTCCCAGCCATTTCACTCAAAAAAATCATATTTCATGAATTAATCAACTTGCCAGATATTTTAGATCACATTTATCATACCATTCACCAGACGGTTCACAGAATACAACCACCTGAGTTACTGGGAAAGGCTCATGACCCTGAAACTCGGTTCACTGAGGGAAGAGGGAACATTACATAATCATATACACCTGCCATCTGAGGGGTAACTACTTTATATATACATCTGGCATTTCCTGGAAGGTCTAAATGCAAACTTGTGTGGCCTGTAACTTGGTAGTAATAAACTCACTACTAAAGATAAACTGTCATATGCTGTGCTCCCTTCATCAATGAGGGACTTTGGATTTATGAAACAAACAGTGGTTCCAATACTCTACCAATTTTGGTCAAGAACAGTCATGATCTCAAACCTTTCCAAGTTCTTGATCAGAGCTGGTGGTTGTGTCTGACCAACCAAAAGCTTCACAACACACAGCAGTTTAGACACGGCTACAGCATTATCAGCTTCGATGGAAATAACACTACTCTCTGGTCCTGAAATGTACTTTCCCTTTTAAGATCTGGCAAAAAACTATGGACCAAGCCAGCCATCAACATCAGTGATAAAGTGTTCTTGAGCCACAGTAAGTTCACAGCAACTTCACAACAAACATTGTTTCTATGATTTACATAAAGTGATCTACAAAACACCTTTTCAGTCATTCCAAAACCATGAATGATTTCAAATGACCAGACCTATCACCTTGTATAACTAGCATCAACTTGACACAATTAACTGCTCAATAACAAATGAATATATACAAGAAGCAAACTTTCTACAAAGCAAAGGTGTTACAACAGAATGAACATGATTATGACGCTTGATTTACATTATAAAGTATGTGAAGCATAACGAATGGTGTAACAAATGGGAAAAGTAAATCAAATATAGTATAGTACACCTTCACACTATACATGACAATGGGAGCAGAGATCTAATTACAGTAAACAGACTGACAACTCGCCTCAAAGATTGAATTGTATCATGATAAGTGAAGATAAGGCAAAGGAAGGTTGGTACAGCACAAGGGAGGGCCAGAGATACGGTGGATGCAGAAAGTGAAGAAATGGGCGTCAAAGAAATTTTAATATGTCAAACAAGTGTATGGGGAGGGGGGGTAAGAGATCTGCAAGGACCATCCTACTGCACAGGTGGTGTGTTAGTTAAAATACAAGTACTGTACAGTATAATCTCTGCTTACACTGTAAGGTTACTCTACTGTGTTATAACTGAGGAGCTTAAAAAAAAAGAGAGAGAGACCTTCACAAAATTCCCTTAGTTCCTAATATTGCATCGAACTATACAATAGATACAATTTTGCAGTAGACGACATTGGTCGAATGAGACCTTCCCAGCATTATGGGCTTATGGGTGCAGTGATTAATGTAAAAGTGTTTCAATGCTCAATGCTTTGTAAATATGAGCTTTCCTAGAATAGACACACAATGGTAGAAGAAATGTTTACCTTGGAAAACAAATATGCATTATATTAATATGTATAAGATTAATTGACCCAGTTACCCAAGCTGTTGATAACCCATGATAAATGTTGGAGTTTGGGTGTTGTTGCGCTGTTACTCTTACATGAAGGGAAGTCTCCAGCAATAAACAATAAATCTTATAAACATAGACTAATAAATATAAATATGTGGTCACCATTCGTCAAATGATGGAATATTACAACTCAAAATTAACAAGTCTTCAAGAATTATACATTAATGGCTGAATCCTAAAACCCATAACCTCTCTCAAGAAATATCCTTAAAAATCCACCTACATAAATATGGAAACAATAAACACTGGCAAATTCCTATGCTGTAAAAATTAATTAAAGAAAAATAAAGATGAAATAAGCTGAAGCAGTAAAATTATGGACACAAATCGTGCACTACTCTACCTTTGTTTTCAACCTCCATATTTGTCAATTTGGTTTAAAATTTGAGACCACAATTAAAATTGTACCACTCAAACAATGCTCTAAACCTTAAAATAACAATTAAATTTTTTTAAAATTCTTAATATTATCTGAATTTTTGTAGCCACGTCATATACTTGAGTATTATCAATTAAAGCTGCCCCATTCAAGATGTGACAAGCACATTCATAATCTTTACGAATACTTTTGGTTGAAAAACAAAAAGGTAAAATGTCCACCGGACACAATAAATGTGATCAAATCCTATTCACCGATCACAGTATAACTGATGAGTAACAACAAGTGATTCTTGCTTTAATATAAGTTATTACTTTCTAACAAACTGCTCACCTCTCTATCACCCTCTTGCCAGTGTTCCCGTCTTTAAAAATATATTACAACTGTTTCCTTCCTCAACGGTACTTTATAAATAAAAGCAAAGAATTGAAGATTATTATTTCTGTGATGCAAGAATTACACTATGCCTACTGGGGCACACATCAAACACCTTCAAATTCACTAAATATAATAAAACATCAAACACTTCCCTCAAATATTTTACGCTTAAAAATGAGCCGACAAGTGACATAGAAATTGGCTGAAACTGGTGAAATACCACAATAGCCACAGGAACCTTGTCAGCAACATTGCTCAGTGATCCCCAGGTAATTTTGTACTGTCAGGAGAACTTTTAAAACTAACCTAACTCACATACATCACAGTAGCCTAAACTAATGTATGCTATCGTCACTGGGGAGGTGAAAGCAATAATGGTGCCAGATATGCTAACAGTGAGTTGCAAGTGTTAATCTTAGCATTCATTCTCGCCGAGGCACTCACAGCCTTTAACGTTCATGTCCTTGAGTGAGAACGGTACACAACTCAAAACCAGTTAAGAAATTATAAATACTTTGAAAGCTTAAGTACTATATGGTTAGCAAAATGCAACCATAATACTGATAAATCAATAATAATGTTAGAATGCAAAATTTGTGTGGTGCTTAGCCAAGCCTCTACTAATGAGAAACTAGTAAATATGTGGTGATTTCAACTGGCTTTTTCTCAAAAAGCAGTTCTTACTGACAACAAAGTCAAGGATTGACACAACAGTGTAACAGATATCAATGGTCCACTGAACACCATCAACATAATCATTCTACTGATGTCAAAATTGTAACTTCTGTATTTAAGGAGCTTTCAGAAGTTGTAAGCTGAAGCAGTAAAAATGCAAAACTGATCCATGTTATTTACAGAAATACCATGCAGTTTTTCTCACACAGCCACTGAAACAATAAGAGGCAATAGTAATCATCAGGGATTTCAAAATAAGGCATTGCACATAGCAAGCACTGGCTACTTGGGTAAACCCTGGCAGCGGTACCATAGTGAGCTTTACTTCTATTTGTTGACCAACTCCTTCATTAAATAATTTTGAAATCATTGGTCACAAACGTCAATTTTGATTGTATCAAATTTCTTTTTGTTCTTAACTCTAAATATAATCAACTAATGCTGATCTGTCTGGGTAAAATAATGATGGCAAGATTTTATAATACAGTAATTTTGTTTTTTCTTAATTATGGAGTAATTATTAACTCAAGTATGGCCAACAGAGGCTGTTTGTCAACACATCTCAACTGGCTGGTGAACGCCTAGATGGCGGAGATTAAAAGAATAAGAAGAAAAACGGAACTATCTGAAACACCAATGTAAAAATCACATTCATGAACAATTATATATTGCACTTTCTCTCTCTCCAACAGAGGCCTTACTCTCACCACACAACATACACCCACTTATCTTTGACTTCTTCACATCGGCTGGTAACAATCTCTAGAAGCACAGTAATCAGGCAAGAAATTTTTTGTGCCCTATCACATAAATTTATAATGTCTGGTTTGACTATGATAATTGTTAGCAAGAATAGGCATACAGTAACTGTATAGTCCTCTCAGGTGATCTGCCACTAACTATGCAATGCTTTTTGATCTCACAAGCACACTACCATTAAAAGAGAACTGGCACAAGATAATCAGTTACAAGGCTTTCTGGTATTTAATTATTACAGAATTCTACTCCCTACTATAGTAAAATCTATGAATAAATAAGTTGGCATAATATCTACAGCAATATACATCTCTATCTATTGAGGGCACAGGAATTTTAACTAAACATCACTCAGGTGTGTTTAGAAGCATTGGATCCTTTGTAAGAATGAAGTGTTTCTTCTCATACTGATTATGATACCAACAAGAGCATCAAGAGGTCACACAAAATAGTTGTTGCTGTTGTATCTAAGGCATTAAATGCATATCATTTATTAATGGAACTCGGTGTTTATACTGTAATAATCTTTCACAGTTTTATCAGAAAAGTTGAGTTCACAAGTGTTTTCTACACATTTGAAGAATTCTGTATTAATATATATATAATATATAATATATATATATATATATATATATATATATATATATATATATATATATATATATATATATATATATATATATATATATATATATATATATATATATATATATATATATATATATATATATATATATATATATATATATATATACAGTATATATATATATATATATATATATATATATATATATACACACACACAGTATATATTTTTTCCCCAGGCATTATTTGTGCATCCCCGGCTGTAACATTCCAGCCATTATTGACTCGAGAACATCACAGGGGGGTTGGCCACTTGCAGCTTTGTTCGGAGTTTTTGGTCTGTTTACGGCTCCCGCAGCTTTGAACTTGGAAACATTGGCCAATTTTTCAAGATTTCCATTTTCTTTCTTTAATGGACTGACCTCCAAGATCGTGATCTTGTTCTCCGGGCACTCCTGTGTAACATCAGAGACTTTTTCTTCAAGGTCCACCTGACTCTCCTGAGGTGAAGCAGCAGCCTCAGGAACTGACTTGGGCTCAACATTACCTTCATCCCCCAATTCTTCCTTTGGTTCAAATTTAATTTCATCTTTAGGTTCAATTTCTTCTATCTTAGCTTTCTTAGCCTCTGGTTCTTCTACATCCCCAACACTAACTTTCTCACACTTACTTTCCGCCACCGGTTCATCCACCGACGAACCCGAGTCCATTCTAAGTCTTTTCTTCACCCGCTCCGTTTCGTCCTTCTCTCTCTTTTTGCTCTTGTGCTCACTCCTGCGTTCTCCTCGGTGGTGATCCTTCTCTTTGTGTTTGTCTCTGTCCTTAGCTTTGTGTTTGTGTTTGTGCTTCTCATGCCTCTCCTTTTCATGTTTATCCTTTCTGTCATGTTTATGGCTTTTGTGGTGTTTTGACGGAGTCGAGGAAACCGACGACGACGACGATTTCTCCTTTTTCTCTGGGAGATCCACTTTAATTGGTGAGAGTACTGGTGAGTTCTCTTCTTTAGGAGACTTTTCCTTGTCCTTGTCTTTTTCCTTCTCTGGATTCTTAGGAAGGTAATATGGTTTTAGTTGAACATGCCATGCTGAAAATAGTAAAGAAAATTTAGTTCAGCTTCATCATACAAAAATATAATTGTATCCTATCACAGTAAGTGAAGTACAGTAAGCCCATATATTTTTTTTTTTCTCTTGTTTTACATGACAGAGAGAAAACCTTTAGGAAATATATAATGAAGTGTAAATCTAGCACAGGAACCTTGCATATTCTAGAGACTTATCCTGAGAGTACAGGTAACTGGACTGAAGATGCCTAACACTGTAGTCTCTTGCCTGTATTGTACAGTATACCAAAGCAATACTTACCATTGCCCTTTTCTCTTAACATTTAATTAAGTTCCACTTATATTCATTTTAAATAATTGCATTCTTCTGCAACAACCACTGAGCAATATGTTAGGCTATGTATTTTGATAGCTAACAATTGTCTGGAAGTCTGTACTGTACTGTACATATTTTACAATCAAGGATAAACGATGTCATGGATTCCATGTATTAATTGCTACTGATAGTTAAAAACCACATCACAAAATATTTTATTCCAAATGACTTTGAATCTTCAGTGAAAACACATTTTCAGTGTTATATTCCACCCAAACACTTATAAAAAAGACAAACACCACTCACCAACACTACAAACTGATGTCACAGTCCGGAACTGGTGAATGATATTACGGGGTAGAAAATATATATCATTGTCACACAGTTGAATACGGGCAAACCTTATTCCATCTCGCCGCAGCTGATTCAGTTTTGCATCTTCTATCCATTGTACACACTGAAAAGAATCACTTTTATGAGTCAGGTGCTCATTATATGTACAGGGGCAGGATCCTGGTACAGTACTCCCAATATTAGTGATAGGGACTTTATCTTACAATTAGTACTTACTTTCCCACTACAACCATCACATTCAAGAGAGAAATTTATACTTAGGTCGCAAATCCATAAAGTTACACTAGAGTATAGTATATGCACCTGTTCTTCCATATTACATTTTAGGTGCAACCCTTCACCCATGACAGTGGTGTCACCTCTTTGTGAGTGAACTAGTCACATCTTATTAGTAAAGTACTATTATCAGTGGTGGATGAAGACATGTAGTCCTAACCTTGGTGTCATCAGTCCTGAGGCTTTTACAGTTTCAGTTTGTAAGTGTTTACATGTAGACAATAGTGTAGCTTAAATCTCCAAGCTGCAAAAGGTTCTGCTCTGAAGCATCCCAAAACATTTAACTTTGGACTGATGAGGAAGGTTCCTGTCTTTCCAAAGAGGCAAACTATGAAACAGACATGTAAACAACACACACCTGGGATATGGGGGGCTCATGAAGGTCTAGTTGCAGTTTTTCCACAATCTCATGGAAGTCGTGGGCATCAAAAGCTACAACATCTTTCACGACACGATTGTGATAGTACTCGTTGCCACAATGGACAGCTTTTAACACCCCTGCAAAAAATATATAACAATGACACTTGAAAGTCAAAATCAGAAGGTAATCAGAAATAGCCACACAACAAGTAGCTACATATTTAGATACAGTTTTAAGCATTCACACACAAAGACTTATTCAAATCATTCCTTTAAGCACAATCAGACAAACTTTTTTATTTGCTGATACCAACTTGCAATAACTCCTAGTTAATACTGTACTAGCTTGTTTATAAGACATACAGTAATGTCTCCATAAACAACCAAAACTGTGGTAAACTGATAAACAGACAGATGGAAGAAGGCCAACATGATGCAGCAGCATAATATATACTGAGGATTTTAACAGCTAAAACAAAGAAAAAATATAACAATGATAATATACTCAAACTCACCAACAGCTGCTGTGGTTTTCCTGTCCAGTCCAGCCCCTACGTGGTCTGCATGCGCTTTTGTACGGTCTTCAAACATCATCTCTCGGGCATTAGTGGCTCGCGGCAGGTACTGAAGGCGCTGCAGCTCATTTATTCCCGTTCTACTTATAGTAATAATAACAAAAGCAAATCAATAGGGACATTTAATGGTATTTGTAAACTGTCACCCATCTCTCACATCCAAAGTGGTGCTGCAATGTACAGTACAGTTCATTCTAATTCTTGGAAGTTGTGTTCTTTCAAATATATAGACATCTGCCAACTAGAAACCAATCTAGTGACTATAACTGTTGAAACTTAAAATAACATTCATGTGACCCAATTGTAGTACCTCGGCCTACAGACTGTCGTTGGCTTTCAAATGCTATGACCCTAATAAACTTTAATAAAGCCTTTATATTAAACCTACTGCAAAGTAACATTAACCCTTAATCGGTAGTTAAGGAGTCCCTATCCCCCAATATACACAAAAATGAAACACAAGGAATATAAACCTTCCACAGATGATGACCACCATTTAAGGGTTAACATATTTGATCTTGCCAAGTACTGTACTGTATCTTTAAAATTAAAATTCTCCGAGTGAAGATTCAACCCCACATATCATCCTCATTCACATGTTATTTGGCCATTTGAGACTTGTTTCATTCCATCATCCAAAGGTATTGATCATTGGCTTAAACTAACTCCTGTAGATTATTAAATAATAATACAAACTACAGCAAATGTTGATGGATGAAACTGACATATTTTGAGATTAACGTCAGATTATTTTTTTTTATCACAAATTATATTACGGTACTACAAGTATTTCATTCCAAGAACAATTTGAAACTTCGCTTTCTCCCAATACTCGAGCAACAAAAATCAGGAACAAAAGCCAATCTACGATACTCATAACAGCAACAAAACACTATTTACCTCTTTCTTTTAGCTGGAGATTTACCCAGCTCGGCCGTTGGGATGAGCTGTTCTCCGGGTCGTATCCACAAGATGGGTCCATCATTGCTTTGTTGGGGTGATGTCATGTTTACTATTGACATTGGACCCCAGGGCATTGCCTACAAATTAAGGATATAATAAAATCTGTAATAAAAATAATACTAAATAAAGAATATTTTTCAATACCTACATGCATAATACCAATTGACTGTTAAACAGCAGCTAAGGATTCCCTAATCTGTCAACATAAATGCAAAAATGAAACACAAGGAACATGAAACGTCCACTGATGATGCCACCATCAAGGGGCTAGATGCAATCCGGCCATACAGCCAGTTATGTTTCTCTGGAACGCCATTACCAGCCTGGTAAAGTATACACCTCATGTACTGTACCACAGGAGGATTCATTTAAGTGGTACTACAGGAAATAACAGAAACTGGCAACTTTGATTACATTTATTTATATATTTGACAAGTTGGCCAAAGTTATCACTGTACTTTCAAAATATGGGTATTCATTAACTTTGTTCTGAAATTACTGGCAGATATGTTGTAGTTCAGCATAAATGGATAACCAACCACAACAATGCTTTGACAATACAGTACCAGCAAACCTGTTAAATAAAGCAGGCATTTTGTTTTGTAATACTCCTTACGGTTTCACTTCAATATGCAACCAAGTATTGTACAATCATTGCTACACTATTACAGTAACACAAACCGTACTACACCATTCCTGAAGAGACTACAGTGGCACAAGTATATCTAGCTAGTCCTTTGATACTACATGACACCAGAGCCCAAATGTATGACTCCATCATCTTGGCTGACAGCCAATTCAAAATAAAAAACCTTGACATGTCAATAACTTACTCTGCAACATCTAATAAATTTATTCACAAATTTATTTTTTTCAAATTTGCCCATCAGCCAAATTGCTTTATTCATCTTTCTACAGACAAACCAAAATACTATTTTACTGAAATATACTGTATGCCTGTACAGTAGGTGAAACTAATCTATCATAATCCATATCCCGTGTTGAATCCCATTATAACCCTGCCATTACTTTACATATCAAGGACTACTGCACGGTGTTGGGAGGAGAGAGAGCACGGGACAACCTTCTACACAGGAAGGGAATGTGCGATAAAGAAAAACAGAACCAAAAAAGTTAAAACTCACCCTCCGCAGGAATGGGTTTTCTTCCATCATACTAAGGAAATGAGGAAAGTAGCCACCCACTTCTTCATGTACAGTGCCAACAACACTTACTTGGTGGAGGGGACCCGTGCGGAAGGTTCCATTACAATATGTTTTGTACACCTGCAATATATATTCACAACAAATTACTTAAAAAAAATATATAATAATATATATATATATATATTTCATGTAAATCCACAATGAAAACGTGGATAAGATAAATCTTGATAAAATCACACGGGAAAATGGAAACAACGGAGTACCTTAGCTTTCGTCTTTATTCAAGACATCTTCAGAGGCCTCTGAAGATGTCTTGAATAAAGACGAAAGCTAAGGTACTCCGTTGTTTCCACTTTCCCGTGTGATTTTATCAAGATATATATATATATATATATATATATATATATATATATATATATATATATATATATATATATATATATATATATATATATATATATATATATATATATATTATATATATATATATATATACTGTATATATATATATATAAAGTAAGTAAATAAATTTATGTATAGTAGCAATTAATTCAAAGCATCTTATATCATGTATGGACTATACTGTTACATCCAGTCATAAATCCACTCTCAGACATTAAGTTATTTCTCCCCTGGAGACCTTGAGAGCTAATACAGGTAACACCATACCTCATCTCTGTATTTTTCCATTGTGTATGTTTCCAGGTCAGAGTTTCTGCCAATGTGTCCTATAACTCCGGCCTTGACAAAGAGGTGAGCGTGTTTCTCAGCCATGTAGTCCAGTAAGTCAGGCATGTACTTGGCAGCATTATGAACAATACCACACACGTGATGGGCAAAGCCATTATCATCTTCAGAAAACACAACCTGAGATAACAGAATAACATAATCATCACATGCTGGACAAATAGAAATAAAATTGATATAAAATGATTCAAAATCTTTTACACATCCATGATACAATTGGAATCGTTTTTGCACACTTTCAAACAGCAATGCAGAGTGGCTGGAATCATGGGAAAACCTATACAAATTCTCCTTTAACTCACTCACTCCCTTACGGACTATTACCATCTGTCTCTAAGTCAAAATACGGGCTAAAGAGTGATCAGCAAACAAGATACAAATAATCTAATGAAATAACTTCAACTACAATGTGATAAATCAGAAGCAAGAATATAAAATCTGGAACCAATGTATATATCAATAATATAAATGGTAACTTAATGCAAGAGTTCACATGATAAAGGGTGAACCGTTGTACAGTACATATCTCAAACAACCATAAATTCATTCACCCATTACTTGCTTCAACCCAGATATTCTGCTACTGGTCACAATAAACATGAAAACATTCTCCTCTTAGTCAACTATCATTCCCAATACTGTAGTTAATGTCAGCATAACCTTTTCCCTTGTTACAACTTTCAACATGTAGCAGCTCTCCAAGTGAGGAACCACAATGAGCTTATCCCAGTGTGGCAGCAGAGAATGTTGGCAATACTGATAATTAAAGGGACCAAAGATAAAGCAGATACATATAGAGGTTATAAAAATATGATTCATAATACTGTGTAATACAGTATAGTATGTGGAGAATATAGATATACTGGACCTAAGTTTATCATACATTTTAACACAAACATGACACTTGTATACTACTAATTATATCAGTAATAATATAAGTGGGGAGGGAGTACAAATCCTGGTGCAAAGATAAGTACAGTACAATACTAAAGTTACTATGTGTCTAAGTGTAATAAAAACAGAACTAAAATAATCTTTCTCACCTCCAAATATTCAGCCGCTAATTCGTCCTGTTCTTCCTTGGTAAGAGCATCAATCTCCTCCTGATACATATGCACCACCGTGGCATCACCATTTGGATACGTTTCAACGTGCATATATTGGCCATATTTGTACTTCTCTAAGCCAGGTTTACCATGACTTGGAGGTCTGGGTAAAGATACGTGTTTACTTCCATAGTCCACTTTGGCAAAACAAGGTTGGGTTACACAGGACGCTGCTCCAGACAACGAGTTTGGCGACGACTTGGCGTCCGTCTTGTCTCGTCGGCACTGTACACCAATATTATAACGTTTAATTTTACTACGTTTGTGACACTTTGCACAGTCATATTTCTTACTACTAGATGATGTTCCTGAAGTTGACTTATGTCTGTGTGCAGCCTCAAAGGAGCTCTTTGTCTTTTCTGAATCTTGTTCGAAGTTGTTTTCCACTTTGTCATTAGCATTTGTCATTTCTACAGATTTGTCTAAATTATTTCTAGGATGAGAAACTTCAGGCACCTTATTTTTACCCAACAAATCTGACACTTTGGTCCCATTCACCGGAAGTTTTAAGGAGTCTACTGGTGTCAACACTTTGTCTTCAATTTTAGTTTCCTTTTCATTCATAAAGCCTAAAGTCCTCTTTGGCATACTATTAGAATCCTCCTTAACACTTGCTAGACTAGTAAAATTAACAGGGGATTCAATTTCCTCTTTCTTTGGTGTTGTTGATCGATCTAAACTCTTTGGTGAATCAGTTTTCTTGGACGAAGTTGGAGGTTTTCTTAGGGTGGTAGTTTTAATGTATGACTCTCCTTTGTTGAGGGGAGGTATTTGTTCATCGTCCTTGACAACTTTGACTTCCTGCTCATCTTCTACTTTGATTGTCTTCCCCTGTGGTCCTGTGTAAATAGTGGTATCCCCCTCCTCAGCAAACTTACAAAGTTCATCCAATACTTCACTTTTGAAATCCAGCTTTGGCACAATTTCTGTTTTCATATTTGTAGCATCCTCCTTCTTTACTCCCTCCCCTTCTATTATATCCTGAGACCTAGAGTCTACATCAAGAGGTTCTCCCTTGACAATGACTTCCAGCTTGTGATCAGGAGATAAATCACTTCCCTCATCAAAGCCACTCTCCGCGGTGTCGTGTCCTTCTCCACTTGCAGATCTTTCTCTCAAGTCGAGACCTTCCTCCTCACTGAATCTCCGTAGCTTCTCTGCTGTAGGAGGAATTGTAACAGGCCTGGGAGTTACAGGAACAATAACTTCTGTAGCGGACGATACAGATGAGATAGAAGAGACGGATGTTCTTGACTCGGATGATCTTTTCTGTCTGATTATTGGATCTGGCTTCCATCTTGGAACTGGTAAATCCATAGGGCTTCTTGGACGAGTTCTTGGTGGACTTCTAACTTTAGGAGATTTTGGACATACAGAAGAAATTGGTGAAACTAACTTCGCTCTAGTCGGATGAGCTGGGGAAAGAATTCCTTGGCGTGGGCTCTGGTGGGGTGGGGACATTATATCATTTTTAATCGAGTTAGTTGGGGAGAGAATGTCAGGTATAGGCACCCTAGGTGATAGTATTTCTGCTTTCAGTGGAACAGGAGATGGACTTGGGGGGGCAACTACTCTCAAGGACTGTGACAAGGAAGCCATAGATTGGAGCGGACTTCTTGGTCTTGTCGCTGGCATTGGTGATGGGGAGGGAGAGCGTGAAGATGATGGGGAGCCAAACTGTGGTGAAGGTGACTTAGGACATTCAAAAGGGCAATCAGGCAATGGTGATGGTGTATCTCTTTCTGGATTGTCCTCCTGAAGCAAATTATCCTTAAGGCATGACTCTGAATTTAAGACAGGATTGGCACAGTTTTCATGAGATTCAACATGGGATGATGGTGAAAATGCTCTCGGTGACAACACAGGAAGGAGATTTTTAAATGATGGTGGAGAATGATTTAATAAATTTCGAGTACATGGGCTGCGAGGAGACATATCAAGAGGTGGTGGGGTTCCAGGGGACATGGGGGGTGGTGGTGGTGTTTCTGAAGACAGGGGAAGTGGTGGAGGAGTACCTGGTGATAAGGGAGGTGGAGGAGGAGGATCTTCTAAAGTTCCCAAACCTCTTCCCTCACAACTGTATGAATTTGAAATAGTTCCTTCTAGTCTATGAGGGATCTCTTTTGTTACTGGAGGAGGTGGTGGACTTTCAGGGGAACCTGGAGGAAGAGGAGGAGTCTCGGGGGACCTTGGTGGAGGAGGAGGTATTTCTGGTGATCTTAGAGGGGGTGGGGGAGTTCCTGGTGATCTTACAGGGGTGGGGGAGTTCCTGGTGATCTTAGGGGTGGGGAGTTCTGGTGATCTTAGAGGTGGGGAGTTCCTGGTGATCTTGGAGGTGTGGGGAGTTCCTGGTGATCTTTGGAGGGTGTGGGGAGTTCTGGTGATCTTAAAGGGGTGGGGGAGTTCCTGGTGATCTTAGAGGGGTGGGGAGTTCCTGGTGATCTTGGAGGGGTGGGGAGTTCCTGGTGATCTACAGGGGGTGGGGGAGTTCCTGGTGATCTTACAGGGGTGGGGGAGTTTCTGGTGATCTTAGAGGGGTGGGGGAGTTCCTGGTGATCTTAGAGGGGTGGGGGAGTTTCTGGTGATCTTGGAGGGGGTGGGGGAGTTCCTGGTGATCTTGGAGGGGGTGGGGGAGTTCCTGGTGATCTTAGAGACCATGCAGACTCTGGTGATATGGACTGAGTAGGAGTACCAGGTGTGAAAGAAGCTTCATGGGGTCTCTGAGAATAGGGTGAGGGTGAAGAAGGACATAGTCTTGTTGAAGAAGTGTTTTCAGAAAGCATAGAGTATGAAAAGGGTATGGAAGGATATGTCATAGTAGGAGTTCCTGGGGACTTGTGTGGGGAGGGAGAACCCGGGGATCTTGGAGGAATACAACTTGATCTGGACATTGGAGGAGTTCCTGGTGGTCTTGTGAGTGGATTGACTGATGAGGTAGGTGGAATGGGAGGGCTTGATGGTGATGCTGTGGGTGAAGTATTCCCCAATCTATGAGGCAACAAAGGTACTCTTGAGGAATCCGGATGGCTCTGCTGATTATTTCTGTCGTGAATGTTATTATGTGTGTGTGGCGAAGTGAGACGTCTTGGGGGAGTAAGAGACAGGGATCTTGAAGAATCACCATCTTCAGAAGATCCCCGACCTCTTCTTGATGCTACTCTTAGATCAGGGTGAACAGGTGGCGTGTAGCTCCTCTCCTAAAGGTGGAAAATGAGAGAATTAACCAATCTTCTTTGCTGTTTGTCTTACAATGAAAAACACCAACAAACAATTGAAAATGCCAAAAAAAAATTATCCTAAATATATCAGACTGCCATTTTACTTATAAGAATATCTGGGAATTATCATATTGTGTACATTGCTTTACAACATATACAGTAAGTGTAACTGATTCTGAATTGATTTTAAAATTAAGCCAGTCACACACTTGTAATAAACTTATTAACACCTAATGTTATAAAAGGAAGATACAATCATGGACATGTGGAAAGAAACAACACATGGTACATAGTGACTGGTACAAGAGGAAGCTGTGGCAATACTTCAAGACAATTTCAACAGCAAGAGAGGAAGAAGTCAATAAATGTGAGGACACAGACTGGAGTTAACAATGATGTTCCCCCCACCTCAGACACATCACGCTCGGGTGTACCACTGCCACTGCTACCATTCTCACTTCTCCATTTAATGCGAGGTTCCCCACTACGGTCCTTATCCTGGAAAGTTAAGAGATCAATTATTTTTTACTCTACACATAAAGACATATGAAAGAAAGTAAGTAACAAAGTACAGATGGTTATGTGAATTTGTACCACTAAAAAATTGCCTGGAGAAGATTCTATAAAAGGCTTAAAATAGACAAAAGCTTTCTTATCAAACACTGATCTCAAAGCTGAAATAAATATGAAGGAATGTATGGTACTGAGGGCAATTACCTACAATTCTGCACAACCCACACAACGATCAAGATTCCTCACTTGGCTGATACCCTACCAGTCTGGCTAATCTACAAGTTTGCCGCTACAACCTAGAGAGTTCTAATAAGTGTAAAAAACTGATACGTGGGATGAAAACTTAAGAAAGTTTTCAGAGACCGTCTGAAAAAGCTGAAAATTCCCAATAATGGCACACCTTATGATACCTGAATATACAACTTAAGATTTTCAAAATGATGAACAGAAGAAAGTGAGACTATGCAATAATAGTTGAAATGCAATAATAGTTGAAGAGTATGCCGATGAACACATAAACCACACAATTTTAGGAGCAGGATAATGGGTATGACATCATGTTTTAGGACAGACGACTACCCTGCTACTAAGTAAATGTATTACCTATTTCCCCAGCGGTACTTGCAATTCATTCAACCTCACACAGCTAAGGTTAGGATTTTGAAACTGATCTTCTAAAGCAATTTTACCCCTGGAAATTATTCCGTATAGCTGTTAATGCAGTACAGTATATGATGTTTCTAGAGCTCAACTACAGGTAGACCCTCTCTTATCTGGCATTCTATCAACCAGCAACTCCCCATTTACAGCACTGTTATAGAAAATGCATTATCTGGCAAAACTCTTCATTAACAGTACAATATGTTCAACTGCCACGTAGTTGGCCACAGACCCCAATTCTACCATTATTATTCAATTTTATTTACTTTATCCTCTACATCAGCAATTGGTCTGTTACAGGACAGTGATGGCAGCTCTTCATTTTCCATGGGATAAAGAGAATGAGTTAAAAATGACAAACTTACTCTGTTTCGGTGTTTCTTATGGTGTGCCCTGTCTCTCTCTCTCTCCTTGTGCTTCTTTTTCTTGTGGTGATGATGGTGGTGGTGATCCCTGTGGTGGTGGTGGTGGTGGTGGTGGTGATGGTCACTGGTGTCCAGGGGGCCTGATTCAGCACTACATAAAGGAGGTTCTGTAAAAGAGAAGACAGGAAGAACTGTACTATCTTTAACATGATACCAATACCCTACACAGTACATGTTACACCCTATCTTTCCACAACACATTTACCCACCAATCTTTATCATCATCATCATCATCATCACAGGTTGCAATATTCCTATACACTTAATACTTCAGTGACAGCTCTTATATACAAATTAGGCATTAGCTTTTCTAATTGCTTACAAAATTAGTATTTACTCACTAATATTTATTCAGCACAGTACCAGACCCTGTCTTTTTTTATCATAATTTAAGTTGTAATATATTATTGATTTCCTATTTAGAGAAGAAAACAAGTTGTCCAGCACACAGAAAAACTGTATAATACCCATGTGCACTGTATACAATACCTACATTGTCTATATTCATGCCGACCTGTAAAACTGCATACTAGTTTATATACTTTCCTATCCAATTGGAAACCTACGTGACAACTTTACAAAACTAATAACAGTTACCCAGGAATATAATCTGGAGTGTACACTTGTTCTTATGAAGAAAAACAGTTAAGAAGATGAAGCAAAGAACAATTAAGACATATTGCCTGGGTGGATCAAAATTTTTTGGGGGAAGGAAGGTACTGGTAGCAGGATATAAGATTGGTGAATGAGAAAGTAATGGTCTATCATTCTTTCAAATTCAAAGTCAAGAGAGACGTACAGTATTCAGATGGTTCAATATAAGTTGGCAAGTGGAGCATTTTGCCAAGATACTGTAGTGTAATGACAACTGCCAGCACTTTTGCACAGCAGCTATCTCTCTGTGAGGCTTTTAACACCAAATACGACCTACAATTTTAGGATGATTAACAATTTATCCGCCAAATTTACTGTGCTGGTCTATTGGTCCCCCTGTCATTCAATTACCAAGCATTAGGCAAACATGCACACTAGTATATATATGATCTATGTGAAATACTAAAACAAGGAAAATCCAACATAATTAAAACAAAACCTAAGCCAAGATTAATAAGTAAAACAAACAAACATTTCTGAGCTTTACCATCTAAAGTTTTCAGTCATATCAATGTACAGTACTGGATTTTTATCAAGATTTCCAAAACATAAGACACATGCGGATTTAAAGAGATATGATTTGTTCTTAATAAAATGTAGCTATGTCGTGGTAATGTGTTTATAATGCAGGAGAGCCATATATTATCACCATGGTGTACAGTACTATTATCAACAGGATACAGTGCTGTACATGCTTATCTCTGCACCAAAAGACATGGAATAATATTTTGTTTGTCATGTTTTTGTTATGAAATTTCAGATACTGTATATATATGTTCAGTCACATTCTATTGCAAGTACAGTACAGTATTCATCAAGTAAGAGATTCCTACTAGCAAGTTTTCAATTATAACCATTGGGAAAGCTAACCTGACAGTGTAAAATATATTTAAAGAAAATAAAAACTGGATGATTAGAGCATTTGTAGGGTTAACGTAAATGAAAACTAACCAAACCATGTTGATATAATACCTCAAAATTTACAACCTAAGTTAATCAATGGTTCCTCTATGACAGTTGGGATACAAATGCCGAATCAATTACAAAGTAACTGTATTGTTGATTGCACAAAGGAACTTGTTATCATACAGTTTATCTAAGAGGATGCACTTTATTCTAGTGCTATAAGACTACATACAGTACAGTACAGTATAATGAATATTTTGGGAACAATTTAGGATGTAAATACATCACATGTCCTAAAAACTTAAACATTATCTTGACAGTACTGTACTGTAATATAATTACATTCACCTAACAATTACAGAAGCTATCTACTGATTAGCTATTTTCAAATTGTTGTTACTACAGTATTTTAGATATGAAAAAGAATTGGTTTACATGGAATTCATATTATTTTAAAAGTTATATTTCAGTGTGTTTCAGCTAAATGTGCTAATTAATTTTTAATTACTGTATACTGCACATTATCTTTAACATCCAAACTACTATAGCATATCCTGCAGAGTAAGGAAGGATTTTTGCTGGGCACAAAATGACAGAATATTCCTTTAACATCAGGGATACTTCATATGATTAATAGCAATAAGTTACATCCTCTTCAAAAGTTGTATCTACCGGGTATAGGTAATGTACAGTACTGCACTTTTAATTATGTAACAATATCAAGGATTTGATATGAATTAATACCTGAATGAACTGTAATGAATATATAAAATGTCAAAATTAATGTCTTCTGACTGTGTCAATCTAATCAAAAGGATTGAAATAATTTAATGTGTTAGCATTTTCATAGCCAAAATCAAATGGACCTCCTAACAGTGCTAGATTCCCTATGCTTTCTCATGATAAAGTATTTGTGGAACATTACATAAAACAACATACTGTACTCCACTCAGTTAATAATATCCATTTCAGTGGTCCATTCCTGCTATAGTCAGAGCACAGAGATGTTTTGGTTTCAATCACTGAAGAGCAAAAGGTGCATTACATTGTCCTAGTTCATGCTCACACGAGTACTGTATATACAAAGTGATAACAGCAAATCACACCTTCAAATGGGATTTCTAAGGGAAAGGAATATTTGATCAAAGATTTCCTGGTTTTAAATCAACTTATAAGGAGATATTTAACTCTACCTAAATACATTATGTACTTCAATGTGGGCAATTTAGAGAAAAAAACTGTACAAGCCAGACAAATACAAACAACCATAATGATTTGTTCCTAAAGTCAATATAACAAGTGATACAGAACATACACACACGCATGTAGTCACTTTCTGGATACCAACAATGTCATACTGTATTCTTAAGCACACGATAACAACAGCACTGAAGGGTAATCTGTCTGCTAAAACTGATCTGGATATTAAGGTTTGACAGTAGCTTGACTACCACACATACACACTCACATCCAGGCATGTTAGATCTGACTGACTCTGACCTATTATTTGTGTGTTTGGTATGGGGAGCCTGGAACACACCCCCACCAGGGCCCCATCCTCCCACACTACCCCATAAAACGCACTAAGTTACGGCAAGTTTATGCGCTGCTGCACAACACCTCTCGTGACACAAGCTTGGAGCAGGTGCACCAAAGGTACGACCTGGCAATATTTAAAGTTATTACAACCCCCTGAGCATGAAGGTGGTGGAGTGTGGTATGTAGTGATGAGCGGAGGAGAAGGGTGACGTGTTTTAAGTCAAGTTCCTACCTGGCGAATACTTCGAATCCATTTTTACAAGCGAAGCTGATGAACCAGGCGACGACATATCCACGAATCCTGGGAAATTCCTAAAACTCCCTTTATCTCTGCCCACAACACTATGGCCCTCGACTTGTGTGGTATCGCTCTCTTCCTCTACTTTCAAGTCATTTCTTACACATTTTCCATTCGTAATATCAAGTTCATCGTGGTTACTGGCTGCGTCATATTTGCCCTCCGTCACGGCCGCCATAACACTGACAGACCCCGGATGTGGCTTCCTCAAGTTGCCGTCAGATGGCAGCACAACTTTGCAATAACCTGCCAAACATTAGCTTTTATCAACTATCATTACTTTTATTGCTTATAAAACAACACAAAACATCCTCATTAGAAATTGAATAGATTAAATAGTTCAGTTTCATGATACAAACAGAGTTCTTAAGATACAAAACATCCTGGAAGCTATATATAATCCCTTTTTTACCTAAGTCTCAGTGGCAGAGTCGCAGCTGAGAGTTCGTTAGCTGCGTGCGTCATCCCGTGCACCACCTCACTCAGACACGCGTCTACGCCAACACTCCTCATTACTACTACCCTTTTCTCTACTATATTGCACAAAATTCGCGATATTAAATTCATTCATTTTGATTTATCCATAGAAACAAAAACAAAGCAAATATACAATAAAGTCATGATGCACATATGCTGCAGCAGGAACTTCAAGTCTATTTTTACTCCGACTGGATTAAAAAAAAATTACTTCCCCAAAATTCTGTAACGGATATTCCTTTAATACAATGACATTATAAGCATTATACACAGCTTGATTTTCCTATAATAAATGGCTTCATTTTAATATCAGGAACACTGGTGCTAAATGACCGTGACTAAGACATTGAGGAATGCAATACGTGCTTCACATCACACACTAGGAAAATCTTAAACACCAACGACAGCACTTTTTAATGTACTGTGTCAGATTACCAGAGGAAATGAAAAAAAATCGCAATGAGGTTCAATTGCAAAGATTCCTCCATAAAAGCTATCTCGTAAAGTATTACAAATGTCAGTCGGTCACCCAGCTGTCATAATGTTGCTCTTAGACAAGTAATCGATTTTCACCTCTGATATACGCAGTACGCCGCGTGTTGCGCCATTATTTAGAAAGTATACAAACTTATAAAGGGACTGCATCATTCTGCATGAGAACCCCGTTAAGATAAACTCCTATTTTATCACCTACAAGGAGACAGTAATAGGTTATGAATACCGGGGATATTTTTTTACAACATAAGGTCACCTGTTACAGTGTTGGCAATAATTGGAGTAACCATTATACCGTATCAACTGAAAATATTCAATCTTCCAAACGAATGAAGAAATTTTTTAAAATGTATAATAAATAGTAATAACAAATTCTATTTCTGATTAGGTTACTGGACGAAAACTTCAGGGCTGTGTACATGTAATAATTAAGATTGTTTTGTATTACTGAATATGTGAAAGTAAACAAGAACTGATTTTCAGGTGCATGTCACGAGCGTTTTGCCTGGGTGCATGATGAGGCCGCCCGACGCCCGTGGATGCTGGTCCACAACACTGAGTAAAATCTGTCCGTCTAAAACACTCTAAATGATGAGTAAGGCTACATATATGCCGTGTTTTCCTACTTCTCTCATTTCTCCTGAACACGTAGCATTAGGGTACTTTATCATCGGGTGTAATAAGTTGGGAATTAGCGAGGGTTAATTTGCACATGATCCTATCTATATATTTATTACAAGAAACAAGACATCAACAGCAGAGACTATTATATATGGCGCTCGAAAAGGTCTGATGTTTACCACGATTTCATGACCTCGACATCATGCCCATCATTGTGTGTGTGTGTGTGATTACACTATAAGTAACCGAGTGAGGAGGTTAACCTACAGATACCCGAAAGATTATTTACGTCACTAAAAGGTTTGTGTACACAGGGTACTATAGGAAGTTACACAACCGCAACACCATTACTGGCCCCAGTTTCTCGAAGGTTCTGAAGTTAAAGTTCTCTGTTCTCTCCCTTAAGGGGTAAAGACCATAAAATAAGGTTAATACCGTAAAGTCGCTTAATTGTGAGTCTCAATGCACTGTTGACGCCATCTCAGCGCCTTCCTTAAATTAGTCAGATAAATGACGGCGAGGATATATTACCGTGACCAACACGTTTCGATAATATACCTGTTTTACTATATCTTTAATCTATGTTGTGCGAGATAGATGTGAACCATGATACTCTTATCCAGATAAGAACGCAACCTAACAGCTCACAAATCAGTGATAAGATAGAACCTTTTAACAATAACCACAACAATACTACGCACCATTCATCACTCGGCAAGAATTTCACCATTGCTATAAAAAAAATCACTCCGTTATCACTCTTTATTATGACATGTTAACTTGACAAGCTACAATTCGCCACCGAGACTACCCCAGTGAGGGCTCTGGCAACAAACTAAAGTCTGGATAAAAAATTTATCGATAACTGGCACATCTGGACTTAGCCGCCACTACACATCACTGAAACTTAACATACACACCAATACTGTAGTTCAAAGTAATAAAACGTGGTTTGTCAGATACATTTACATTTGTAAGGACTTCCCCATATAAAATGTGTGGAAAAAATAAGCGAAATGAGTTCATATAAGAGTTTTATGAAGAATGTGGATGATTATTTTCTAGTGAATTTAAGATATAACAATATCTAACGTTAAGCGCTCTAATTGCTTAGACCAGTGGTTCTCAACCGAGGGGGGGGGGGAGCCACGGCGAGCTGTTATAAATTGTACGTTCCCAAATAATGTTGGGAATCTGAATTAAACAAAACTTTTATTACTTATTTTGACTTGGCAGAAGAGAATTTTCATTATTTTTTTGTCATTTTGTTTAATCATAACGACAATACAATTTTAATTTTTACATACTCTGGTGCTATTTTTTTCATTTTTTTTTACGGATTATTTTAGATATCACAGGTCCAGTCCGTCTGTGACAGGCGCTGGACCGAGCTGCTGAACTGACTTGTTCAGTACGTGTTCGTGTGTCATCCCTTTGCAAGTGGTGATAGGACCGAATGGGGGGGAAAATGAAGGAGGCCACGAGGATGTTGAAAATTCCTCAGGGGGGAATGGAGTGAAAAAGGTTGAGAACCACTGGCTTAGACATATTTTCCTTTCTCATTTAGCTTAGATTAACTCACACTAACCTAACCTTACTACTCAACTTAAAGGAGTAAGGGTAGCAATCAACCATTACTGAGCGCGTAATATATCACCCAATCCTACGAAAAAATAATAATAAGGTTTCCATGAGTGAACATGGAGGTAGTAAAGTTGGCGCCGGGAGGACTGGTGGGAAGGTTTGCGCGGGAACACAACACAAACATGCGACATGTGGCACACTATCATCGCGTGACCTTGGCATTACGCGTAGAAAATGGGAGGTCAATACCCCACAAGGTAACCGACGGTAAGTTACAAACATCTGAACTTCACTGAAGATTTAAACAATTTAACTACTGTCTCTACAACAAATTATCCTTCACTGATTCTGGAATTTTCAGCTCTATTTTTATTGAAAATCGATAAACCAGAATGAAATAAAACAATTTTGCAAAGGTGAGGGATTACTGAGTTTTTCTCAACCTCTGATAATTACAAACAACTAAAACATTGGAATAAATATTTTAGAGAGAATGAATATAAAAAGGGGCAGCGAAGAGGAAGGAAGTGTGCGTGTCTTCATCAAACACCGCAGGACAAGCGAGAATGCGCAGGGCAGCACGTCAGCAAAATCACCGCTTGCCTGCCTTCCACCACCACCACAATACACACACCAGCAGTAATGGCAATCTCCTTAACGTTACAATAATCTCCCTAAATTAGATCTATATATACAAGATATTTAAAAGAGTGATCAATCACGTCCCAACCCATAGTGAAGATTTAAGAATGGCGTGACGTGTACGTATTGATCATTCATGTACACCTGTTTCTCACACATACATACACGCGTCGGGTTGGTAGTCAAGGGGAGTTACCTACTGGATAGTCTCCCACGAGTTACACAGGTGTGTACCAAGGACTATAATTCTTGGATGTGTACTACACTTGTGTGAGTACAGTACGTACCTAAGTACTGTTTCCTTTGTTTCCACATGTTCTTGATAATGATGACTTATATACTGTACTGGTCTGAATGCTTTTTTTACGTTTACCGGTTGAATTAACGTACTGGATTTTTGCTGAATATCAACTGTACAGAGATCTCTAATTGGCTTTTAGAAACTGGAGAGGGTTAGAATTTCAGCCACTCTATCATATGTGGCGAAGAGGATAGGACAGGATAATATACGATACGATCATTTAGAAGACATTTCGTCGATTGATTTATACGCCGGGATTTTATCTAGTTTAATACATTTGGCGTGAGAGTATGTGTGTATGGGGAGGGGGGTACTAAGCAAAGTGTTTTGGTGCGTGGCGCTAAAAATTATGAACTACAGCAAAAACTAATTTAACACCGCCGCCACCCACCTCTTCCCACCACCCAGTGACCCCACACACACACATCACACACGCACTATGACAACTCTCACATACAAGCTAGGTAGGGAAGCGAGTAGGTAGGTGACTGGCTAGTGAATGAGCGGTGGGTGACTTGCCAAGTGGATGAAAGGATGAGTGGCTGGCTAAGTGGATGGGTGACTGGCCGAGTGGATGGGTGACAGGCTAAGTGGATGAGTAGGTATAAAGTTCTGAGCACACTGGTTACTTGGCTACTAGAGCCTGGTTTCTCACCTCTGTAAACATCAGATCCTGAACACATCCAAAGTTTTAATAGCAACCTGCACTGATACGGCCTTTCCCTTGTGACACTAAGCAAATGATACAGTACTGTACGTCATAAACTTTATTCATAAATAATTTGCACTCTATCATTTGTCACAAAAAACTTCAGTCCTCAAGAGGTCACCACACATATATCTGCATGATTCATTATAGGATAGCATCAGTGGACTGGGCCATGTGAACGCCAGAAGAATTACCAATTTCCTGGTGGGAGCTATGCCTAGATGATAATTATTAATAATACCCTCACAATACAAGGATCATCAGTCATGTTGTACTGCCAGTGCTTAACGAGTGCCATACTGAGTTGCTGCACCGTATAGATATTTTGTTTCTAGATTAATAATACGTACTTAGGAATCTGTTCAAGGTGTTAAGTTGACATATCACAGTTCATAAAATGCAAAATAATAAATCAGTAAGTCATTAAAAATATACAATGAAACAAAACGTAAAGCATACTCATGTTACTGAATACCCATAACACATGCAATACTGTACATTACGGTACAGTTTATACATTGTCTTTATCTATTGTGGATTAAAAACAATCAAAGCACAATGCCGTTTAGCTTTAGTCTTTACACGTTATATGAAAATCAGTACCGGGTAACTATTTTAAAAGGTGATTATGAATATATATAAAGTTGCTGAGTTAAACTGAATACTACTGACCTGAATATTGCTGACAGGAGTTCCCTTTCCGTTGTACTACACTGTTATCACTGGTAGGCGGTGACATCAGTGGCAATTTTCTTTTACATTACACTATATCTTTACTTTGTTCTCTTTGCCCCAAGTCACATAAGTTTAGTTTGATTTACAGCACTGAGTATGGATCCGTAATTTTGGTTATCCAGCATCATTATCCCCATTTGACGAAGCTTTTCATTCTTCTCTTGGCTTGGGAATGTGACCCAACAACTCATCTCCTTCAAATTTGCCAAAACTCAACCTAACATCTTGAGAAAGTGGATGTTCAGCGTGGGTTATCATCATACCAATCTTGACTGTAAACACACCTGTAGAAGGAAACAAACAGGCACTCATGAAGGAACCAACACTCAAAGTTACTGTACGAAAAAGAGTAATAGTTAATAACAAGGATCTGGCTTTATAACAACATTCAAGAGGAATTGGGACTGTGTAATGCAACAATAAATTCTAACTTATGGATCTTGTGAAAATAAATTGGAACCCCAGCTTATTTCTCCTGATGATTAAACACCCTAACACTACCTGGAGGGGTTAGGTTAGCACTGAAATGTTTAATCATCAGGTAAAATAAGCTGGAGTTCCATATTTTCCCGAGATCCAGAAAAACTGTTTACATAACTCTAAGAGTATCACAGCGATGGGATGACAATGCAAATCTTATTAGCCACCTTGACAAATATATATCTGAAACAAAAAATTGGTAAACTGAATTTAATCTGAGTTAATAGATCGAGTGCATGAACCTATCCTAACCTAACCTAACCTCGACTAGTATTTGGTGTCACGAAGTCACAAAAAATCGGTAAACTTAATTTAATCTGAGTTAATAGATCGAGTGCATGTGCCTAACCTAACCTAACACAACTCAGATTTAATTAAGTTTACCAATTTTTTGTGATTTTATGACACCAAATAATAATCGAGAAGTGATTGGCAGTCCGATTTATTCTTGTAGGACCATCATTTGACTTCATTGCGGCCACATTTGGGTAATTACTCGCTCCCTCGGTACATGCACGCGATCTATTAACTCAGATTAAAGTAAATTTTCCAATTTTTTTTACTTTGTGACACCAAATACTAGTCGAGAAGTGATTGGCAGTCCGATTTATTCATCTAGGACCATTATTTGACTTCATTCCGGCTACATTTGGTAATTAGTCGGACCGGCTTACTAATAAACAGTGGTGAGGTGAAGAGGACAGAAGTAATATATAAACGAAAACAGCTGTTGCTTGGGATAGAAAATAATAAAAAACACTAAGAAAATTTATTAAAGACGAAAATAACAAATAAAAACATTGTTAATACGCCTGCAATCGTTTCACTGCTCGGTGCTTAATGCGCTGGTGCCAAATCACCTTCATTTGTTCTGTATTTTGTTTACCAATGTTGAATCGTTTTCTTTATTAAACAATTAATACTCATGTATAGTAATAACACAATAAATCTTCATTTATATATTCACCAGTGTTTTAATCGTGTTCTTTATTAAATAATTAATATTCATGTATAGTAATAATAATAATAATACACTTCTCGAGTCGTCTGTATAAATGTGTAATCTCTATTCGTGTAAAATAATAACAATTTGTCTCTAATACCAGTGACTGTTAGTGGTGACGAAACGGACTTGATATCGGTAACGAACTGGAGTTTTGGTGACGAACCGGGTCGGTGACGAAATTGGCTGTATCCAATAGGAAATAAACTTCGTTGCATTGCGTTACTTACTGTTCTTGATACAGGTAGTGTTGTCTGGTGCTATGCTGGTAGACTGTCCCATAGGGCTATCATCCTCATCAAACACAGGCATTTCATTACACTAAAATAATTATGTATGATAATTTAGTGAGCATGAAACTATGACCTCTTGCGATTGTAAAGTTGACTCACTGTGGTGCCGAGGCCCATCATTATGTAAACATTACACCCAAACAGCATTATTGCATTTTATTTTATATTTGCATTCAAAAACAATTAAAAAAAACAATAAACGCTGAAAGTCACTGCACATCAATATTTGGGCGATTCCTGAATTTCCTCCTTGACGTAATAACTTCGGTGGACCTGTTATTGCGTGGGTCCTCAGCCTACTGGGGTAATCTAATGACTAATTGCAGGAAACATTAGGGTCTCCCTATGTTGTGCTTCTTCCAATGATGATATATCTTCCTGTAGGAGTGGTGACAGTGTAGTAGTCGTGCAAGCAGGCAGGTACTGACGTGTAGTCAGACAAAACAGGAGAATGAACTCCCATACCTTAAACTTCACTCAAGAGTTCCTACTTCGTGTGTCCTTTTCCTACTTGTTTTCTTTAAATCACCAAATATTATTCCTTGTTGTGTAAAGATCACAATACAATAAGAAAGGCGAATTCAAACTGACTTAAAATCATAAAATCACGTTACGGCAGCAGGTAAATAGAGTAACGTCCACCCTCCGTGAAAGACAACGACAAACTAATTTAATTAAGCCAATTCTAATATAGCATTAGAATCCTTGATTATGCATAATTATTCGTTAAATTTATTATTATTATTCATCTTCAGTTGGCTTATTTTTGTTTTATTTTTAATTATTTATGAAATAATTCAGTGCTAAAGTGACAAATGTCAACAACCCGAGTTTTTTTTAAATACAGTACAGTACTGTACTGTTAACTCTGCATGCTGTAATCCTAATTAAATTTAAATTATTTTTTTTATTGTCACCTGCTTTTTTCCCAATATGAAGTGATATATAATAATTTTGTAAAAAAATAATACTGTACTCAGTTGTGCTCGGTGGTTCATTGAGTTCTGGCAATGCTGCTAAATAATTTATGGCTAGGAAATATAATTTTAATTGGATTTAAGATGCTTAATTTATTAAGGAAAATTTAATTTTGCAGTAGTAACCACGAAGTAATGTACCATTTTCTTTGGATCTTGGCAAACATTCTTTTAATGACTGACTTCACAAGTTCACCAATACTCGTACAATGGAGACCACATTTTGTTCTATCACATTTTAATAAAGTACAGTATAAAAATTCAATTATTTTCTTTACTGCACAAGAATACTACTTGACTTACGACCTGCATCAGTCGTGTCCAAATTTTGTCAAATTAAGTATTTTCGAGTCCCAACGTCAGTGATTGCGCTGTGTACTGACAAAATTTTCGTTTGTAATTCACTTTAAAATGGCTGGCTAGCTTAAAAGTGAGAGTTTTGTGGTGCTGAGAAGAAAAAAAGACACCCATTTTAGATTTTCTATGTATTATTTAAGCATTTTCGACTTACGGCCTGGATTTGGGTCCCAAACCCTGTTGTAAGTTGGGGAGGAGCTGTTATATATATATATATATATATATATATATATATATATATATATATATATATATATATATATATATATATATATATATATATATATATATATATATATATATATATATATATATATATATGAGTACAGTACTGAAGTGTTCAGTAGCTACTGTACCAGCTACCAGGTGAGTGTTTTACTCAGTCTTGTGTATTATAAACTTGTGCATCTTCAATAAAGTACATTTTATCTTTCCCTTGAATTCTTTTTCAATCTTTAAGTTACATTAATTCACACAATGTATCACTGTATCAGTTGCATGCAGGGAAGGAAATTAAATAAACAAGCAATGAAAAAGTTTACACATTCTTATTGATGTTGAGCACTACTTGAGATGGACAAGAAAATAAACACCAACTCAACACACAGGTACAGTATGGTTGAGATGGCAGCAACACACCAGAGTCCAGAAAGGCCTTGTAGCCTCCCCAAGTCTCTCACTGTGTTATGTTCCTCTGAATATTGACATAGTCTCTCCCCAGTTGATCTCTCCTTATAAGGGAGATCCACACAAACCTCCAACTACACTTTACTTCTAACAACTCAGCCAATGACCTAATTTGTAAAAGTATGAAGTCATACTTGTCTGATTCACCCACTGAATCTTGCGAGTTTCTCTCTCTCTCTCTTAAATTTGCTCACTGATGACTTACAATTTATAATCCAGCCATGGAAGACTTTACTGTAGTATGAAAATTACATGGGCATTACAGCCTGTAGTTCCTATAAAAATACTACAAAATTATTTTTATTTTTTAAACTAATTTCCACTAAAGAAAATAATAAACCTTACAATCATTCTGAATATAATATCAGTCACACAAACATAATGTTCTTTCTTCTTTGTGATGCATGGAAAATAGGTTTTGCAACATCCCTGACGACTGAGTTGCAAGTGCCTTCTCCAATGTGGTGTTCCAGTGTACAACATCCTCCAGGAATCATCTGAGCAGGCAGCCTGTTTGTAAGTTTCACAAATTGTGGTATCCACTGTCAACAAGCCTTTAAATGATATTGGACCTTTAACCTCATGCAGAAGAAGTCTCAGGTAAAAGCATTCAAAATTGTTTGGATGTACAATGTACAAACGGCCAAGTGCATCATTGGCTTTGACATCTGGCTGCCGGCTGGTGTAGCACATTTGTCCTGCTTTGTGGCAGCTCACATCTTGCTGCCAACATTCCATGAGTGGTATTTGGGTACCTGATGATGCATCAGTGTCTAAACAAATTCATCATCATGCAGTTTATAAAAAATGCAGTGAGAGTTGTGTCTTGTGGGACTTGGGCATACTTGTGTGCATCTTCCTCAGATGTACAGTACCTGTACACTCTTTGGCCATTCTTGAGGTGCACACCGAGATAAACCCTTACTGGATTTGACTATAGAACAATAAGTTCAGAATCCTCCATAGGACTTCAATGCTGCTGATGAAGCTCCCCAACTCATATTGGTGAACCCCATCATGTTCATGTTTGAACGCATGTGATTGGCTTATTTTAAAGACCTCGCTGTCACAAGTCCTGTGATTGGCTGCTTCAACTCCGATTTGAAAATGTTTGGGAATGTAACCGAACTTTTGTGTTGATCAATATGTACAGGAGTAAAAGTAATTTACTTATAAGATACATAAGCTAAAATGAAAGTACTGAAAGATTAAAGTATTTTTTAAAAAGTAGATCCATAAAAAAGTTACTAAGTATTGTAATGAAGAAAACATCCAACTTACGAATGCCCGCCAATACGAACGGGGTTAAACTTGAAATTTATAGTACAGTGGTCCCTTGGTTAACGAACGGTTCGATTAACGAATTAGCTCCCATAAGGATCTTCATTTCGGTTAACAAACAAAACTTCGATTAACGAAATCCTTACGACAAACACGTTTTGTTGTGAGCATCAGCTGATCGGCCAGTCCGCCAATACAGTAATCAGTTCTATGTTTACATTCATTTCCTGTGGAGTAAATATCAAAGTTGTACTCTTGAATATTTTTGCATTTTTTATATTAAAATTATTAGTCATTTTAAAATTTAGTTAACATATTGATAATATATGCAGTACAGGGAACTAGTTTTTTGTGCGCCCATCAGCCGCTTGACTCACCCGCCAAAGTGTCAGTTTAACTTTGTTTACAGTGGAGGAAACATCGTGTTTGTCGCTCTCTTGAATACAGAGTATTTTTACGTTTTTACATTAAAATTATTGGTCATTCTGAAATTTAGTTAACATATTGATAACACTGTCTATAGAGCAGTGCAGTGTTAATTTAAATAAAATACCGTAATCTTTAATTACACCTACCGGGTAGTGAACTTAAAATTTTGTTGGTGAAATTACTGCATCAAGCATGAGTCCAAAGAAAGGGGATTTCTCCTCCGCCACTACTTCCTTCTCTTCTCCCTTCTTCGCCTCCACCCCCTACTTCTAATTCCCACCATCATCATCAACCAGCAACATTCTACATACACACCTCAAAGTAAGTGTACTTTACTGCATTTTGTTTATACTTTGTATGTACTTTTCTGTGAGCTGGAACCAATTCCACAATATACCATTGAAATAATAGATTCGGTTAACAAAATTTTTGATTAACGAATAACTCTGTGGAATGAATTGTGTTCGTTAACCGAGGGACCACTGTACTGTATTTGATTTACCCGATGACTTTTTATTTAGTACTTTCATTTGACTGTATTTTGTCATTCTATTTCTTTTTTCTTAAATTAAGTGATTTTTGATGTATATGAGGACTTAGGCTCTGATATAGTGGGATTTCAAACATTGTTCTGTTAGTACAGTACAGTATGCCCATAGCATGTGTTCTGACTCACGTACAGTCTCGTTCAAGATTCTTCGAACACTGCTGGAGACAGCTGGCAATTCAAAGCCGTTTATTTACTATAGTACGTAGTAAAAATTATGAATAAATGTAAAAGTGATCTGTAATTGGTTACTCAGTTCCCCGTTGCTTAATTTAATGGTTGGGTTTTGTTGTTTCGTATTATATTATACTACTTACTATAGTAAACAAACGGCCTTGAGTTGCTAGCTGTCTCCAGCAGTGTTCAAAGAATCTTGAACGAGACTGTACAAATCTGACTTAAGAACGTCCTCAGGAATGAAACCCGTTCGTAACCAGCGAACCCCCCGTACTTCATTACTTTACACCTCAAGAATTTATTCATCCAACGTTTAGTATGGTGTAGATAGAGTGTAACCTGTAAAAGGCCACCATCAACTGTTTCTGGAAATGCCATATATATTGTAGAGTACAACTGTCCACCCCTCCCTCATACTGTTATAGAAGGTGTACAACTGTCCACCCCTCCCTCATACTGTTATAGAAGGTGTACAACTGTCCACCCCTCCCTCATACTGTTATAGAAGGTGTACAACTGTCCACCCCTCCCTCATACTGTTATAGAAGGTGTACAACTGTCCACCCCTCCCTCATACTCTTATAGAAGGTGTACAACTGTCCACCCCTCCCTCATACTGTTATAGAAGGTGTACAACTGTCCACCCCTCCCTCATACTGTAATAGAAGGTGTACAACTGTCCACCCCTCCCTCATACTGTTATAGAAGGTAATCATCTCTGTCTTTTTTCATTGTCTGAATCAATTGTAGCATCATGATGCTGAGAAGGAGAACAGTACAGTATTACCTTTTTTGGAGAATATATGAAGTTAGTGTAACATCTTTGTGGCAACCAAACTTGTATATTTGACTCAAATTCTTGTGGCTACAAATTGAGAAGGTGGTTCTTTTTTGTTCTTCCTCAGTGTCAATTACTGTCTGTTTCTGATTCTTCAACAGAAACCATTATACCACTGCTGCTGCTGAATTATCCAAACTAAAGGTCCCGGTGGTTGGGTCCCCTGGTCCCCCTAGTCCACTTTCATAATTGAGAAAAAAAGATTTAATGGTAACCAAAACAAATATCTTTAGCCCGTATGTTGCTGGTTTACCTGGCATAAATTGCATGAAAGAACATTTGCCTCTAAAGGTGACCAGAATTTCATGTATTGACATATACTGTACACCAAAACAGAGTAACTGGACTTACAATTCTGAACAAATGAGGTTTCTCATATGAACAGACAAATACTGTACACACCTGACCAACAAACTTCATTAGGAGCAAAACATCTTATTAAGCTTCAACAACAATTGGTTTTCAAAATTTCTGCAATCAAGTCTTGCTCGCTTTGGGCCGAATACTGGTACATCAACACAGAATAGTCTCTCACAGGCAGCAGAAGCAGGCATTAGTACATTCAGTCGTACGGATAATTCCAGAAGGGACGGAAAAGACCTGAGCTTCTCCATATTGGTATTAAAAGACTTGGCTAAGTATGAATTTAACTCTCTCCTTCCTACACACAGATGCTGAGGCCTGACTGGTGTAAGAAATCTTCTTTATTGGTGGAGCTCTCATAGTATAACTTCTCCACCTCAAACAAAGTGTAATCCATTCCTGCAAACAAGAAAAAACTAATTAAGACCAATGATTATACAAAGTATGGTATTAGATAGAAAAAATAATGACAACAACATTAAAACCTTCACCTGTAGAAAGTGATACAATAATAAGGTTAGTGAGGAACAGAGTGAGTTCAGAAGATGGATTCATCCTCTTGAATTAAAAAATATTGATGGTGAAAGACTTAAAGATATGTAGCAACTCAGACTGGTACTCTGAAATAGCCTCTGAGTAATGAATGTTGACATAAATAGAATATTGCCTGAATGAGAGACAGTGCTAAAAATCTTTAACTTATAAGTCGTATTTCATTGCCGAGTTTTACACAGCTGGATCTCTGGTATAGAAGCATCATATGTACCATGAAATAGCTTGAATATAAAGATCAATTTGGAAGAACATCAAAAGAAATTATTAAAAAACAACTAAATTTTCTCACCTTTATGGAGAACAGAATCCTGGCTGGTCCATAGATTCTCAAATTTTGGCGTAAAATGGCAGCAGCAATGAGTTTTGGATCCTCCAACATGGTTGCAAACCGCTTCTCTATTCCTGACGTAAAGGCAGTAATAAGGGGACGACACAGCTTTGCAGAAATGTAGATCTTATCAAAATTTGTTTTAAGTTGGTAGAGTATAGGAAGCAACCATCCCATGTGAGTGCTGGCTTCAGACTGCAGCATGTCCAATGCCTTACTCACTGATTTCATCATTGTGTGATACAGGTATTCTGTCAGGAACTCCAACTCTACAGGACTCAGCCTGAAACAAATGTTAAATTAATATTTTGGTTTTAAGATACTGTATTGTACATAATACAAAATTGTACAAGCAACTGGGATGATTTTAATTCTCTGAGGTGTTAATGAACAGTATACTGTACTTTACTATTTTTATATGAGAAGAAATTATGATTAACTGCTTCAATCAGGAAAAAAGTTTACTAAATAAAATAGATTCTTATTATATTCTCTTCATTTGAAGACAATACTGATCACTTACACCTCAGAAGGTCAGTCACCCCTGTTGACATGATATGAAGCTGTTCATTTAGTCATTCAGGTCATTTGAGAATAGGATTAGGAAAACTTACTATTGAACATTAAGTCTTAAAATACAGTTGTATCCCACTTATGGTCAACTATTCTTAAGGCAGTCCAGACCATTTAACATCAGGATGAATATTTTCTATGTTACCTAAAGGCTTTAAATGTCCGTCAATTGAGTGTAACTATAAAATGAATCATACTGGTGATGCTAATATTATATACTGTACTGTACTTCACTGTACATTAATGCACAAAGAAAGAGAACTGCAGTCCAGCAACTAGACAAACAAACAAATTATGGACTGCAACTTACATTTTAATACTGAATGATGAACATATATTTTTAATGGCATCTTCTCCTTGATTCTGATTTATGTGCAGTATCCGCTCAACAGCCCGGAAGGTAGAGTTCCACCTTGTTGGGTTTGGTCTAATCAGTTGTAGCTTGAACTCCGCTTTGACAGTTTCTGCTGTCACTGCTGACCGACCGACTTTGTTCCACAGCGTCTGACATTTACCAAAGGCTGCTCGAAATTTTTTGGGTAGGAATCACATTTCTCTTCGTTAATGACATCTACCGTAGCAATCAGATTCAACAAAACTAGGACAGTACAGTACTGACCCAGAAAATTCAGCATACTGTACTGTACTTTGTTGAGTACTATTGTAAAAAGATAAATAACTCATAATGAAGGATGAAACACTAGATATTAGCTATGTTTTTCCTCCTCAGCATACAGATATTTGGTGTAAATGTGGAAATGCAAATATATTTCATAATTTTGAGTTAACGAGTTATTTTGGAGTCAGAATTTTTAAAAATTATTCCAGGAGATGCTGAAAATCATTCCCATATTTTGGCAGATGTAAAAAAAATGCTGCTGCTTTATCCCAAATTCCATGTAAATGTGTGCCGAATTAACCTGGGTTGAGTGCTTGCATCTGTTGGTAATAGGGGCTACTGGTACAGTACGTTCAAAAGTTAGTGTTATGTATTTAATTACATGTGTGGAAGATCAGCACAACCTTTTCAATCAAAAACATCATTAAATACAAACAATTACACATTTTCCACTACATATCTCACAAATGTTTGGAATAACAGAAATTCATGGCCATCATCTTTGTATTACAAAAAATAACAATAAAAATAGTAATGACATACAGTACTGTAAACCCAAAATCATTTTCCAAAATTCATGTAAACATTCTATGAACACAACGTATAATCTTCATACAGTATACTGCAAGTAAAATTTTTTTTTTTTTTTTTTTTACGGGAATTAGCCCACCTGGGCACAGGTTAAACGACCCACAACGGAGCCTGGGGGCGAGAAAAAAACGGAAAGAAATTGTAAATATGGAAAAAAAGGTTATACTGTATTAATCTACACCACGAAGATGCCAGAAAACCAGCTTTTTCAAGTGAGACAGATTGTAAGAGCATGGAAACACAGAAGAAGGCAGAGCATTCCACAGTTTGGCTGTGTGAGGAAAGAAGGAGGTACTATAACGGGTTATTATAGTGTGACCGACGTCCACAGAGAAACTGTGGGCACCGCGGGCAAGACGTGTGTTACGAACCCACGGCCTTGCCGGCGGTACACAGGATGCCAAATCCACCGAACATTGCCAAAGTTAAAGTACCTGTAAAAGAGAGAGAATGAAGCAACATTGCGGCGAAGAGAAAGGGAAGAGAGATTGTCGACTAAAGGAGGAGAGTTATTAAGACGAAATGCCTTTGATTCCACCCTATCTAACAGTTGGACAGAAGAAGAGCCACCCCAGATATGAGAGCAGTACTCCAAGTTAGGACGAATGAATCCCTTATATACTTGGAGCAACTGCTCAGGAGTGAAGTAGCTGCGGCATCTGTACAGCATTCCCAACTTTCGGGAGGCAGCTTTAGTTACACTAAGGATGTGTGATTTCCAGGACATATTGGAGGAAATGGTGAGGACTAACATATTTATTTCAGAATTTGGGAGGATGATAGCGTCCTGAAATGTAATTGGTGGGAGATCGTCTACTTTACAAAGTGTATAACAGCACTCACAAGACACCATCATCTACTGATAAGCTGCTCGGGCACTATCAAAACACATCTTTAAATTTTTCAAAAGACTGTGACAATCTGTCATGCCCATACTTTAGCAGGTTCTTTTGTTCCTTTAACAACTGCAAATTTACTTCATGCTCTTTAACCTGTACCTCATGCTCTTTCATTCTTGCCTCATGTTCTTTCATCTGTACCTCATGCTCCTTCATTCTTGCCTCATGCTCTTTCATTCTTGCCTCATGTTCTTTTGTTCTTGCCTCATGCTCTTCCACCTTTGCCTCAAACTCTCTCACTTGAACATCTTGTGCCTCTTTCATTATCTTCATCCTCATGTTGAGATCGTCCTCTAGCCTCTGCTGACATGTAGCGTAATCGTCAACACACTCCCTCTTTCCTCTTCTGCTGGGCACTACTGACTTAGGAGTCATAAAAGACCGAGTGAATGGAGAAGACGAAGTGACAGGCGTACCAGGTGATGTAAGAGGAACGGACAAAGATGGAAGGGAATGAACAGCCTGTGCTGGGGAGGAAGAGAGAACATTACAAGTAGAAGTGCCAGATGGTGTGCCAGAAGAAGAAGATGCCAGTGACTGAGAAAGAGGGTTAGTGTAAGGGACAGTCGAAAAGGTAATGGGGTTGTAAGAGAAGTAACTAGAAGATGAACATATGGGATGAGTACACACAGCAGTAGTGGAGCAGGTGAGGGGTTGAGCTTATCTTCCACATCTGTAATTAAATACATAACATTTAACTTAAGCATGTAGCTCTATTGCTGAACTAACAAATACATACACTCAACTCAGGTTAATTTGACAAACAATTATTGAATTTGGAATTTGGGATAAAACAGTACTGTACCTTTTCCAGCTGTCAAATTATGGTAATGATTTTCAGCATGTGCCAGAACAATCTCCAAAAGTACTTAAACTTAGGAGGGAAAAATTAAATCTGAAAATTTACAGTTTATAAAAAATGCAGACTCCAAAATGCCTCGGTAACTCAAAATTATATAAGATAATGCTCCAAAATGTTAAAAATATTTCTATACATAAAAATGTCCAATTGTGTACTAATTAAAAAAATTTGGGGGTAATTTGTAAATTGTGTTATTTTAACAGTGGTAGAGACCTTTTGTGTGGCAAATTAATGAGTCAAGTGCATATAATTTTTAATTATAATATAAGTCAAATAGACATGGAAGAGAAGAAACTGATAACTTTGATGACAATTGAGGAGTATGTTACAACAAACTCTAATTCAATGTTGCTGTGGCATAATTGATCTTGACCACTTACAAATTTTCACATCCATTATGGGGTCTCCTGCTTCATTCACTGGGTGTGATGCATATGTCTCAACAACACTGTTACACACAGTGAGTTCAAGGCTCATCGTGGACCCGAGGGTGTTTGGCAGAGGACCACCACCAATTTGCTCAATATTCATCTCTTCCTGCTTAATTCTGGAAGAGAAATGAAATGAGTATAAACCACATTTGATACAAATTGGCAGTTTCCATTACTGTGTTTTATCTTGTCACAGTTAATTCCATAAATGAAAAAAAATCCTGTTGTATTCCATGTGTGTTTAGCTAATAAACTTGATACAGTATATTGTAGTGATATTCAGCATGAAGGTGTGTTAAGGCACCCAACAAAATATCATAACTTTTAGCCTTATCTCCATTATTTGATAGAAAAAGTCCAAGTGAATTTTTCCAGGCTCCACCGCAGTTATAGTACAGTATTAATAAACATTATCACCAGTTATAGTACAGTATTAATAAACATTATCACCAGTTATAGTACAGTATTAATAAACATTATCACCATCACAATTCTACATTAATTCTTCAGATGTGTATTTGGATTCTGCCGTCAGTTCTACAAAGCCATTATTTAGGCACTGAAAAATTTAATTTGTATTAATGTACTGTATGACCCTTTTGACTACTTTTTCTAAGTGAAAATATCAGTGATTCCATATCTAGCATTGACATGGGTGTAAACCCATTGTTTATAGTTTAAATTATGGGCCTTACAAAAATTATTCATCATCTTGCTTGATCAATACATTATACAGTATAATAATGGCTGAGTTTTTTCCAATACAGGTTGACAACCCTTTATCCGAAATTCCGAAAACCGAAAAGCTCTGAAAACCGAAAGTTTTTTTTTTTTTTTTAAACGGATTAGCCCATCGGGGTCTGGGGGCAAAAATGTAATAGTAATAATAATTATAATAATAACTATTCATAGTAAATAAAAAATTTAATACAAAATACACCCAAATAAAATAATAGTGATAACAATAATACTGTACTAATAAAATAATAATATTGTATTGTAATTAAGAAATACAAGAATGAAAAAAGATAAAAGTGAGAAACACGACCTAGACCTAAGAATTATTATTATTATTATTTTTGCCCCCCAGGCCCAAATGTGGGTCAGTTTGTGCCCAGGTGGGCTAATACACACATAAAAAAAAAAATAACCATTCTGTAAACCGAAAAATTCGGAATTCCGAAATGCCTCTGGCCCCAAGGATTTCGGATAAGGGATTGTCAACCTGTAATGTAAAGGTCAAAAGTAATTCAGAAGCAGCCAACACTCAGATCCTTGTATCACCTTCAGAATTTCAAACTCTGGTGGTTTAGATCCAACATCACATGAGTGGAAATTTTTATGTGGTCATGAGGAAAAGTCAAACTTCGTGTGTAATGAGAATAAATATTTATTCTATTTAAGTCGACTATTGCATCTAAATGCTGAAAAACAATATATACAGTATACTTAATAATTATATTAACTTGTAATTGTTGAATGTATGCAGAGACTAATTAATTTTGTTTTTATTAAAAAAAAAAAAAAAATTGAGCTTTAACTTTACAACTCAGTACTCTACTAATGTACAGGTAATGAGTTCTGGAAAGAGAAAGAATAATGAAACCAATAAAGTGAGGATGAAGGCGGTAACTGTGTACACTAGTCAGCCTTTCATATACCAACTGTTCTCACAATAAATTTGGTGGCTTCAGAGTAAAGTAGTGTACTACTGTATGTGCTTATGTACCCTTAACCCACATCAGTATCCCTATTATAGTTCCTATAATTTTCCAGATGTAGGTCCAAACTTTGTTTTGGGCTGATACAAATTGTGTTAGGCAATGGCTGACTTCTGGTTCATCTACTTCTATACAGTATTATTTTTTTATGTTCTGCTTATTTTCAAAGGTTTCTGGATTTATCAATGATTCATAAGTTGATTATATAATATACCAGTAGATGATTTGTTACAATATACTGTACTGTAAATCTAATGAGCATGAAAATAACTACAGTACTGTGTAACGATGAAAGTACACTGTAAATTTCAATAACATTAATAGAAAATAGAAAGACAACCTAATGAAGATCATGGAGAAACTATCTAGCAATATTAATTCCATGTCACTTTCTTTGACCGAACTGGATCACCAGCCAGAAAAATCTCTCATTCCCGTAAGATCTCTGCACCAATTATTGCAGCTAACACAGATATCACTGTACAGTACTGTACTGTATATGCAATATACTGTATAGAACTCCAGTTATTCAGCACCTACTTGAATTGAGAGGTGCCAGATAGAGATTTCCCAGTTAGTTGAACCTCAATCTTAGGATCCCCCAATAAATCCTACAATGCACAGAGCTACAGGCTGACCTCGCAAATTTGTGTCTCAGAAAAACAGATTTCTTTATCACAGTGCAGCATGGCAGTCACACATCTGTGAGTCAGGTGGGTGACTGCCTGGCTGAACTGTCATGTCACCAAGAGGATGATTTGAGTGTGGAAGGAGCTATTTTTTTTACATAAAATAAATTATATTGTATTTTATGTGCTATGTATAAATTTTACTGTTTATCAAAAGCAATAAATGTGGCAGCTCATCACTGTTGGGTGCAGTATTCAAACTCGAGATTCTAGCTGTTTTGGGAGGAATTTTTATTTCTATTATTTCGTTTTGTCGTTTTGCTGCCGGTTAGTTGAATTGGCCAGTTACCCAGACTCCGGATAACAGGGGTTCTACTGTATACAATATATATTTACCTTATTTACCTAATGGCCAGTGGCCTGTGTAGGATCTCTCTATTGCTCAGTGAAGCGCTCGTTTTTGGCAGGAATCCTATGATGGATCCCTGCCTCATGCAGTCGTCGCCGGACTGTTGAATCTGACACCCCCAAGCCCAGTTCTCTCTTGATCGCTGCAGCGTTCGTGAAGTGATCACCTTCTGCCGCCTTTCTTATGTTCTCATCCTCCTCTGCAGAAGTCACTCGTCGTCTGGGTTTTCTTTCTGATGACAATAAATATAACCATGAATGTTTAGAAGATAATACTGTAATGTCTTTTCATAATGTGATCAAAGTCATGTTGTTTCATTATTTATTTATCTCATTCATGCATAGATTCAAACATATTTACCCAAGTCCTTCAAATTTCCAGTTTTCTGCCAACGTCTGGTCCACTTCTGGGCAGTAGGCCGTGAGATGCCGAGCCTTCTAGCAATGGAAGAGATGGAGAGGCCTTCCTCGTGAAGTCTAGCAATCTGGCTACGTAACACGAGGTCATGCTCTTGCCTGTTTGTGCCGACAGAAGACTTTCAGTGACACCTCACAATCTTCTCCGAAATCACCACAATACCCCATTTTGGCCATGACATGGTTGACTATCTCTACATCCTTATATAAACTGACTGGCCATAGCAACAAGGCAGTGCTTATAAAGTTAAATACTGTACAATATCCATGTTTTGGAAGTATAAATGTGCAAGTACAGTAATAGTAAAACTAAGTTATTACTGCTATTACCATACCTTTGCAACTGGGCAAAGTGTATCTCAAATAAAATAACCAAGATATAATTGGAAGAATTAGTAACTAGAACTATGGTCACACACTACAGGGCACTACCCATGGACAGGTACAATTCATCTTGTGTTTGGGTAAAGGCTTTCAAGGTGTGTCACCCAGTATTATACAAAAAATGAGACACGATTACCATGATTGCTGTATACCACCTTAACCCAAGATAGGTATTCCTTATTTGAAGCTACGCTACAGGTAATGGTGAGTCTTACGGACCCACTAAAGAAGGATATCATAAAAAACAACATTTTATAAACTGACATTTATTTATTCTACATATTATGAAAATGATATCTCTTTTGGAGTTATTCCAATAAACAGTATTAAAGTATAAAAATATTTACCTCCTTCCATATCCAATTATAAAACAAGTTAAAAATAAATAAATAAATACACGTACACTATGGTACCATAGAGCAAGAACTATTATTGCGATCACAGATATATTATAATGGCATACAGGTAAAGGGTGATATTCAATACTTTGCCGGTGACATCATCATAGGATCAGTGGTTTGGCCGGGCCAGGAGACTGAATTTGGCATTACACTACATACACAAGCACAATGTTTTCCACTTTACACACAGTCGATGCAGACATTGCATGAGTGCACACCACACACAGGCTGCCGGCAAGTGTTGCGCACATTCTTGGTTTTTCTATCTAACTTCTTTGTGCACTTTACACACCTTTTCTTCACAGGAAGGGCTGGTGCAAATGTTGGAATTGGGGCAGTAACCTGCAGCAGATTTGCTATGACCTGCTTGGTATTCCGTTTTAGGCTTGGTGTGTTGAGACGTTTCTGGGCCCAAGGTGTCACCAGCTGTAGAGCTAGGTCCTGCATGAACAAACACCGCTCTTGTCTCTTCACTTGCTGCCCTTCCCTGTTCTTTGAGTAGATAATCCATGAGTTGATGGTTGCAGCATTGACTATACCATGGAAGAGACATGTCCTTGTTTTACAGCTGCAGGAATACATGCTGCACATCTTGTCAAACATATCCACTGCACCCTTAGTTTTGTTATAGTAATTGATGATTTTTGGTTTCCCATTAGTATCAATGGTGGGCTGGCTGTGCATGGTAGAGAGGAGGAGGACGAGCTTCTTCTTAGTCCGGGGCAAGTCATTGTCATATCGTTATCGAAGCAGAATGCACTGCTCTCTGCCTCTCATCTTGTTTTCACGTTCATCTCTAAGTGGAATGTGTGGCTTATTGGAGCGCAAAGTGCCAATAGCAGTCAGGCCACAAATCGTGAGCATGTCCACTGACAACTGAACTGATGTAAAACAGTTATCAGTTGTAATATTCGTCCTGCTGCTGAAGCAGCGCTTGGTAAGTTCCTTCGTAAAAGTGGCCAAGGTGAAGACCTTCTGAAGCCTGTATGGGGCTGGATTGTTTGCCCAAGTATGGAATATCATTCAAAATATATTTCGTGTCAACATCGCACATCATGACAAGTTTAATCCCGTACTTTGCAGGCTTGTTGAGTATATACATCCGGAAGTTGCATCTCTCACGAAAAGCCAGAAGCTGGTCATCTACAGTGAGTGCATTGCCAGGAATATAATGAGTATGGTACTTGCTAACAAACTAATCCCAGAAATTTCAGATGGGAGCCAGCCTATCAGTCATCTTCCGCTCACTTCTTGTAACTGAATTGTCAAAATCAAGGCACCTCAGCAGAAAGAAGAAGCATCTTTCGCTCATCACAGCTTGATACAGTAGTCTACTTCCCTGCTGGTGCCACATTTCTGCTGCTGACAGGTGATTATCGTGCCTGCAGCCACTGAAGATAAGGATTCCAAACAAAGATTTTATCTCCCCGATGCTAGTCTCCTCAATAGTTGCCATCTCCTTGCTGAACTTCATTGACAGAACAGAGATGATTATGTTTGCATGTGCTTCAATTTCCTGGATTATATCCTCATCGAGGAAAAGTTCCTGACACTTTTCTGGAGTGTCTGCAATATTAGCACATCCCTGTGGGCCAGGTCTCCCCCAGTGACTATGTTTCTGCTAGGCATCCAAGCAGTTCTTTTAGCAGCAGGGGTAGCACTCCATTGATGGTCATTATTGTCCACGCGGCGCCTCTTCCTTGCTGGTGTGGCGGTGAAGAATCTTGGGTCATCTGCTGACTCAATATCGTTGTCATACTGCTAATCTATCGTCACGTTGTCCTCAGAATCCTCTTCCTCAAGCATTCTGAGCTCATTCATAATCAATCTCATCCAACTCAAAGTTCTGCAAAGAAGGAGTCATTGTCTGAAATTGTCTGAAAAGAACAGAAAGACATAATTAATGCTGATATATGCACATACAGTATACTGTACTAATATACAATTACACACGATTGACAAAACTCGCCCACGTGGCTCACCTCGTGTTGACTAACATCATGAGGTCCACGACATTCAGCATAAAAACAGTAAACACCACCTGATAGTAGGCGTAAATAGCTGAAGAATGGTAAAGAATGTAATAGAACGCTGATATTTAGTTATAAACCATATTCAATAGCACACAAATGGCAACACACTTCCACAGAACATATCTTGCTCCAACAATGGACTGTACATATCTACATATGACTCACATATTTTTGGAAAAACTGATAAAACACACATCAATATTATGCACACGACTATTACTAATGTTTCCATGCATCTTGCATGGACAGATACAGAGCTGTATTTATTTATGCAAACACCTCTGTACTGTACAATACAGAATATTGTAAATAAACCAAATAATGTCTATGTACTAACCTAACCTAACTTGTCTTATCCTAACCTAATTTATTCTAACCTAATATATCCTAAACCTAACCTGACCTAACTTATTCTAACCTAATATATCCTAAACCTAACCTGACCTAACTTATTCTAACCTAATATATCCTAAACCTAACCTGACCTAACTTATTCTAACCTAATATATCCTAAACCTAACCTGACCTAACTTATTCTAACCTAATATATCCTAAACCTAACCTGACCTAACTTATTCTAACCTAATATATCCTAAACCTAACCTGACCTAACTTATTCTAACCTAATATATCCTAAACCTAACCTGACCTAACTTATTCTAACCTAATATATCCTAAACCTAACCTGGCCTAACTTATTCTAACCTAATACAGTTGGTCCTCACATTAAGCGGTCCCGCATTCCGCGTTTCACCGTTACCGCGGTGCCTTGCCAGAACCTAACATTTTCACATTCCGCGGTCGCGAACGCCATTACACGGAGAGTGTCCGGCGCGACGCTATTTTTAGATTTTCCCCACGCGCCGCCCGCCTGCCTGCCTCTCCCTCCTCCTCCCTCCGCTTGGGCAAGCGGCGCGGTAAGGTTGCGCAGTGTGTCTTTGTTGCGTTATCACTGACGTCATATGACGTACAAGACCTGTGATTGGCCATGCATCCCTACCCTCCTCTGCTGCTAGCTGTAATTGGCTTAAAGTATTATGACGTGTCCACCCGGGGGAGGGAGGGAGGGAGGAAAGACGACGCTTGACCTAGCCGCGACAGTCTCATCCCTCAAGGCCACTCCGTGTTAACGCGCATCCATTGTTCCGTAAAATGGCTTCCGCCGGACCACCACCCCCAGAGAAAAACCTTTCCTTACCTGGACCCAGCGGCACTAAGCCAAAGAGGACACGACGTTCCTTAAGCTACGAGGTGAAGTACCAAATTATTCAAGATTTGGAGAAAGGAACACGGCAAGTTGATCTCGCGCGCCAGCATGGCGTCAACGAATCTACGATTCGCACGATCAAGAAGGATGCAGCCAAGATCAAAGAACACATGAAAATCACAAAGTCTGCAGGTGCTTCTATGATCAAGTATTTTCACAACCAGGTGCTTCTCAAGACAGAAAAATTACTTGTGAGGTACTTGGTGCGTCAGGCGCGACGGAACATGGCGGTCGACACGCGCTCTGTGAAGGACTACGCACGTGAACTGTACATGGCAATGGCACGAAAGATGGGAATTACAGAGCCCAAACCCTTTACTGCTTCCTCTGGGTGGTTACAGAGGTTTAAGATCCGGAACAAGATCACCAATATAAACATTGGTGGTGAAGAAGCGAGTGCTGACCGTGCTGCGGCTTGGGAATTTCCTCCGTTTTTACGTGAGATTATGGAGGAAGGACAATACAGTGACGACCAGGTGTTTAACATGGACGAATCTGGTCTTTTCTGGAGAAAACTACCTTCCAAGTCCTACATTGTGAAGAATGCCAGCAGGATTCGGGGCCGGAAAATGCAGAAGGAACGCATCACCGTCCTGTTTGCCACCAATGCCTCCGGTACCTGTAAGCTCAAGTTATCGGTGATCCACACAGCACGCAAGCCGCACGCCTACAAAACCATGGACATGACCAAGCTAAATGTCCACTGGCTGACAGCACATAAGGCATGGATGTTCTGTACACTGTCCCTCTCCTGGTTTGATGACTGTTTTGTTCCCGATGTAAAGAAATTCTGTGAGCAACAGAATGTCCCATTTAATATTTTGTTGCTGCTGGACAACGCACCAGGACACTCGCCCCTACTGTTAGATCGTCACCCCAACGTAAAAGTGGTCTTCCTTCCTCCCAACACTATGTCTATATTACAGCCCATGGACCAGGAGTTGATTTGCAATGTGAAAGCTGCATTCTCAACAAAAAAATTCCAGCTCCTGAACGACTACACCAACACCAGGGAAGAGTTGCGTGACCTGAGTGACACCACCACCGATAGCAAGAGCGACGAAGATGAGGAACAACGGTTAGAACAGCAAAAAATACTCTTCAAACAATTCTGGAGAATATTTAACATCAAGAAAGCTGTGGACATCTTGGTGGAGTCATGGGATCAGCTGTCTATTGCTACAATTCGTCACGCATGGAGACATGTGTTGCATGGAATACCAGGTGAGAGGAGGAGTCAATCTGTGACTGGTGAGGTTCAGAATGTTGCAGTAGCAGTGGACCTTGCCAGAGAAGCTGCGCAGACTGTTACAGTTCCAGGCTTCTCCGAGACCACCAACGACGACATCCTGGAGGTGATCAGAGATCCTGAAGTGACTGCCGACGAGATGATGGAAGAAGAACACGTCAGTGAAGAGGAGGAAGAAGGTGCGTCAGTCTCCGAAGAACACAATTTAAGTCATAGTGATATTAAGGGTGCCATGGAGTGTGCAGAGAAGATGAAGTCCTTCCTTTCCCGCGACAATGACGATGACCGCTATGAAGTCTTCCATAACCGGCTGGTGCAGGCTATGGAGCCGTACATCAAGGTGTATCACAACAACATCAACGCCAGCCGTCAGCAAAGCATAACAGATTTCTTCACCCGCAACCCACCACAGCCAGCCCAAGCCAGTGATAGTGACAGTGAAGTTGACTTTGAGGGATTTGTCAGGGAAGCCCTGACAACTGTAAGTGACAGTGATGATGATTCACCTAGTAATGGTGATTCACCTGAGGGCCAGTAATCTGCCCTCTGCCTCGGAACCAGCCTCCATCCCCGTATGCCGACCCATCTCTTCTACTACCGTAAGTGTTACACAAAATTTTTAGTTTTTTAACCTATTCTTTATTTTTCCTATGTTAACCTTTATCTTTCCTAACCTAACCTCTTCTATATTACTTGTTTTTTCATACCATCATAAAGTTAAGATAAAATTTTTACTACAACATAGTTGTGTGTCGTCAAAAAGTGGAGTTTGGGGATCGGCCTGGACTCCATTTCAATTAATCCCATATGTTATGTTGTTCACTTTACGCGTTCCTCACTTTCCGCGGTACCCTCCGGGTTACATTAACCGCGTAATGTGAGACCCAACTGTACAGGTATTGGTAACTAGAGCTATGGTCGCACAATAAATGGGATTACAGAATGTACTCACCTCAAACTGGTTAGTTTAGATGATGTTGGTTGGGGCGTTACAATGGACTGCTCAGTGGTATCAGTGTAGGAAGAATACTCAATACATGAGAGACGGTCTTCCTGTGTACAGGTATCAGTCTCTGCTGAGCTACTGTCATGCTGCTGGACTTCACATTTGTCTGCTTCACTGAACTCTGTGCCCTCTTCTTCCACTACAAAATCTAATTTCTCTTCTTTAATCTCTATAAATTCGAAGTCTATTTCTTCTTTTATTGTAGCCATTTGCTCTGTGTCCACCTGTCCACATAAAAATAATACTGTAACGAATAAATAAGAAAAAGACCATCTGAATGCTTATATAGTACTATAGATTACAAAGATCATATTACAGTACCCTGTACCTCTGTTGTCTTCTCAGGTGTTCTATGATACAGTACTGAACAGACAATTTATGACATGACCTGAACATTGACAGTGATCCTGTTTTCTTTGCATAATACAATACAGTAAATACTATTATATCTTTACAGTACTTTTATTACATAAACACTGGACCAGCAAAATAGCCCAAAACAGCCTGTCAGGCTATTTTGCTGTAACCAATAATTTAGCTTGTCAGGCTATTTTGCTGTAACCGGTAACTTAGCCACTGCCTAAATACAGTATAATCAGGCAATCTTTGGGGATTTAAACATAAATAACTTCAGATGTTTCTTCAAGTCATTGGTGAAACCACATTTGGAATACATTACAGTATTATCAATAACTTCACCATCCAGCTATGAAGCACATTAAATTACATCTGTCATCTGATCATCTCAAGCCCATCCCCTGGCCATGGTCGTCCCTAGTCCTTCCACAACATTAAATATAGACATCAGTGACAAAAACTTACATTTTCCAGACATGAAATAGAGAACAGTGATGAAAACTTCCATGTTGGCGTTATCGGTCTTTTGCATCATTTTGGCACCCAGCAAGTAAATACACACGATGATACTTGAGCAATAATTTATTTTAACCCAAAAATAAGGTATGCCTGTTTACATCAACACTGTATATGGCCATAAGTCCTGTATTTTTGCTGGTAAACAACACATATGGATATACACCACAGCTGGCTGCCTCTACGCTCCCTCTCTGAAGCTCGAGGGAACCAGTGACAACACAACCAATCACAGAGCTTTTCACAGTCACGTAACTTTTTAGCAAATAACCCTTCATTTTTTTCACTTTTAGACCTAATTTATTTAAAAAGATCATTACCATAGTAATTTAAGCATTTTCTTTACCCATCCAACCGTCAACTCATACCAAATTTACGAGACAGTTCGTATATATATATATATATATATATATATATATATATATATATATATATATATATATATATATATATATATATATATATATATATATATATATATATATATATATATATATATATATATATATATATATATATATATATATATATATATATATATATATATATATATATATATACTGTATATATAAACACACAGTCAGTCCACGACTTATGACGGGATTAGGGACCGACGACCAGGTCGCAAATCGAATTGGTCGAAAGTGCGAAAATAATACATAGAAATTCTAAAATGGGTGTCTCTTTTCCTTCTCAGCATCACAAGAACTCTCATTTTTAAGCTTGCCAGCCATTTTAAAGGGAATTACATATAAAAATTTTGTCAGTACACAGCGCGATCACTAACGTCGGGACTCGAAAATATGTAATTTGAAAAACATTTAATACATTTCCCTATTTCACTGCACTTTCCTACAAGATTTACAGAATCTTTTTTTTTTTGTAATCATTGATAAAGCTAATATACATGGTATATACTGTATACTAATAGGTATGGATTATCTCTTGAATTGGGTGTAAGTAATCTTGGGTAAGACTTATCTCGTGAGTTGGGTACGAGTTGTCTTGGGTACGAGTTGTCTTGGGTACGAGTTGTCTTGGGTATGAGTTGTCTTGGGTACGAGTTGTCTTGGGTACGAGTTGTCTTGGGTACGAGTTGTCTTGGGTACGAGTTGTCTTGGGTAACGAGTTGTCTTGGGATGAGCTGTTGTCTTGGGTGTTGTCTTGGGTACGAGTTGTCTTGTTGTCTTGGGCATGAGTTGTCTTTGAGTTGTCTTGGGCACGGTTGTCTTAGGTACGTTGTCTTGGGTATGAGTTGTCTTGGGTAATGTTGTTGTCTTGGGTCGAGTTGTCTTGTCTTGGGTCTTCAGTTGTCTTGGGTGAGTTGTCTTGGGTATGAGTTGACTTGGGTAATGAGTTGTCTTGGGTACGAGTTGTCTTGGCACGAGTTGACTTGGGTATTGTTGTTGTCTTGGGTGACGAGTTGTCTTTGGGCAGTTGTCTTGGGTACGAGTTGTCTTGGGTATAGTGTCTTGGGAGTTGTCTTGGGCATGAGTTGTCTTGGGTACGAGTTGTCTTGGGAGTATGAGTTGTCTTGGGTACGCAGTTGTCTTTGGGCAAGTTGTCTTGGGTGGGGCGAGTTGTCTTTCTTGGGTACGAGTTGTCTTGGGTACGAGTTGTCTTGGGTATGAGTTGTCTTGGGTATGAGTTGTCTTGGGTATGAGTTGTCTTGGGTACGGGTTGTCTTAGGTACGGGTTGTCTTAGGTACGGGTTGTCTTAGGTACGGGTTGTCTTGGGTACGGGTTGTCTTGGGTACGGGTTGTCTTGGGTACGGGTTGTCTTAGGTACGGGTTGTCTTGGGTACGGGTTGTCTTAGGTACGGGTTGTCTTGGGTACGGGTTGACTTTTTGGGGTACAATTTATGACCCTAACCCGTCAATTGTGAAGCAGGATAGAGTAAATAAAAAAAATAAATAAATACTTACAATTATACTAGAAAGTAGTCGTTTCATTTAATATACTTAAAATCATCAAAACAATAAGCACAGCACAGCAAAAATAAAGAAAATCAACAAACAACTTCTAGTGATAACGGTTTCGTAAACATTTACCATATAGGGGTAGGTTTACCTGCATGTTGGTGGTCTCCCTCAAGCCACACATAAAGAAGGAGGGAACAGCACCTTCCTTCAGCCTGGGTTGTCCTGAAGTACACACACTGCTCAACGGGTCAAGAGGATCCTTCTCATCCTCAAGCTTCACGAGGTCAAGATCTATGTCACATTTTGTCTTCAATAGGTCAGGAAAAACCTCATAGTCAGTCTTCACAAAATGATCAGAACACAACACAGTGGTGAGGGTCGACCGCCATCCTTCCCGTCCTACACGACTCTCCCATATCTTCCTCTGCTCAGGATTTCTCGGGAAGCGAAAGAAACTTCTCCCAGATCCTTCACCATTCTGACATCCTTCAGCACAGCAGCAAGACATCCTGACATGTGTGTTTTTAGTGGTAGCGTTGATCATTGCCGCACAAGTTCCCTCCACCAACTACAAAATCAAGTAAACAAGATCACTCTGGACAAGGATGCTATAATACGAGAGAAGGATGATTCATTCTTTTGAATCCACCACGACGGTGGCGACGCCAAGCGGCTGGGCAGTACCACAGATCAAGGATTTATCTTATGAGGAAAGACTAAGGAAATTGCAGTTACCGACACTGGCGTACAGAAGATCTCGTGGGGACCAAGTGGAAACATACAAGATAGTGTGTGGCATATATGACCAGGCATGTACAGCAGGAATGTTCCAGATGAGGGAGACTGACACTACCCGGGGAACACAAAGATCTACAAAACAAGAGCGAGGCTAAGCATCTCAAGGGGCACTACTCAGTCGAGTGTCCTTACTTGGAGCTGGCGGACGCTCGCCCCACAAGGGGTCACAGCTCAAGATTGAAGAAGCCGCAAGTCCAGAAAACCGTGAGGGCAAACTTTTTCGGAGTGAGAGTTGTGAACTCTTGGAACAATCTACCAGAGAGTGTTGTGACGGCACCGAGTGTGAGCTCTTTCAAGAGAAGACTTGACCAACACTGGAGCAGGTTCAGGTACATTCAGGAGCCGGTGCATGCCCAGTACTTGCCAACAGTGCGTGACAGAGACGTGACCGATCGCCCAAGCGGCTAACAAGCCAATCAGTGGCGAAGAGGATAAAAACAAAAAATTGTTTGGAATGTTTATACTACAAAATTTGTAGTAGGGACAGCCAATATCCATTTAATTAGTTATGTGCTTAGTAATATTTATATATTCAAAGTATTATTACTGTGTTGCACAGTAAAGCACAATTAATTATCTAATAATATTTATTTACAGTCGAGAAGGTTGGGCAACTACAGCTGGCTGCCTCCCGTTGGCTTGGGAAGTGGGAACAGTGGGAAGCTGGCTTAGCTCGCCCTAGGCCTTTTGGCATGCCCCAACCAGTGACGTCACAACCAACCAGAGCTTTTCGCAGTCACGTGACTTTTTAGCAACTTTAACCCATATTTTATTTATTTGGGGACCAGTTTATTTTAAAATGTCATTACCATAGTGAATTTAAACGTTTTCTTTATCCGTCAACTCGTCCATTATTCCGCAACTCCGACAAAAGATTGAGGCATCAAAAAGATTTTTTGTTGTACCAGTTAAAAACAAAATACTGTATACTGTTTTGTCATTGACAATGAAATATTATAGAAAAACTGTGAAGTCTACTGATTGTAACTCCCATTTAAGGTGTTGACAAAACTTTTTAAAGGGTTGTAATGCCGAGGCATAATTTGGTACAGTATTGTATTGTTTGTAAACTAGGTGTTTTGATTATTTTCTCTCCCGAGCAGTAGTTATTTTGGCAATTTAGGGAGATTTTCAATTCAATTTCAATTGTTTGTTCCTTGATAGAGGAAGCGGGATCCTTGTGTTGTCACTAGGTACCCCTGTACAATAACACCAGAAGCATCTGGCAAGTGTCACAAGTATATACAGTATAAATATTATAAAGGGGCTTACTAAAGCCTAAGGAAAGAAGGATATTCCTTTAACACATAATCAATGTTATTTACATAATATCTGGCCAGTATGGGGAGGATCATCGTGTCTCCGTCAGGGGGTCGTGCAGTGGTGGTCCAGCAGGCGTCACGGAAGCATTGTGTGTGGGGACATCTTAGGAGGTAGTGGATAAGGGTGCTGCTGTCGGGTCTTCTGCATAATGCACAAGAGCGTTGCTCAGGGGATGCGGAGATACTAATCTCCCAAGAAAAGTCATACCCAATGATGATACGGGCAGCAATCACGTCCCCTTTCCGCGACCCTTTCCCATAGACATACGAGAAGTCAGGAAGTTTACGGAGGACATAATAATAATAATAATAATAATAATAATTAACGGTTTATTGAAAAAGTTCTGCAGCCCGAAGGCTGAAAATATACATTGGACATAAATGACTTATTACATACAGTACAGTGGTGGTTTAACAAAAGTCTTCATTAGAGAAAGGCAAAGGAACATACAGTGAACATACAGATTAATGTAGGTGTTGAAAAGCAAACACGTAGTGTAGTAACTCCCTCCCAGATGGTGTTAGGAGGAACTCACGTGGCGTAGTAGTTCCCTCAGATGGTGTTTTGAGGGACCTGGCGTGGTGTAGTAATTCCCTCACAGATGGTGTTATGAGGAGCCTCACGTGGTGTAGTAATTCCCTCACAAATGGTGTTTTGAGGGACCTCACGTGGTGTAGTAATTACCTCACAGATGGTGTTATGAGGGACCTCACGTGGTGTAGTAACTCCCTCACAGATGGTGTTATGAGTGGCATCTCATGGTGGACGAATTCCCTCACAGATGGTGTTATGAGGGGCCTGACGTGGTGTAGTAATTCCCTCACAGATGGTGTTATGAGGGACCTCACGTGGTGTAGTAATTCCCTCACAGATGGTGTTATGAGGGACTTGACGTGGTGTAGTAATTCCCTCACATATGGTGTTATGAGGGACATGACGTGGTGTAGTAATTCCCACACAGATGGTGTTATATGAGTGAGGTGTGGTCTCAGGCCTTCCTATCGTAGATGGATTAACACATCGCTGGTTGTTGTTGGGTCTCACGGGCCGTTATCACTGGGTGCCTGGGACCTCACTGTGTGAAGGTTAACTTGGGTACGACTGTTACTGTTGAGTTGTTCTCACTGACTTAAGCACTGTTCACCACTGTTCACCTCTGTTTAACACTGGTTCCATTCCTTTCCTAAATGAAATTGTAACTTCTGGCGAGAACTTGTTGATATTCCGGTGGGGAGGAGGGTTCAGGGGAGGGGGTTGGTATGGGCCAACTTAACAGTCTCGGAGCAGCCAGGTACGTCTTGACCCTTCGGTGGTCGGGGCGGGGAGTCCAGGGGGATGGCTGCTTCCCGAGCTTCTCTCTGTTTGCGGCCTTAAACCATCGATCAATCAATCGAAGGTCATTCTACTCAACGCTCTCAAACAGACAAGACCTCCTCTCAACAAGCTCCTCACCACACAGCAACTCCCTAGCACTGCATTGCACACACACACACACACACACACACACATATATATATATATATATATATATATATATATATATATATATATATATATATATATATATATATATATATATATATATATATATATATATATATAGAGAGAGAGAGAGAGAGAGAGAAAGAGAGAGAGGGGAGGATAACTTATATAACCTCTTTTTACCCTCTCATACACACCACAGAAAACATGAATTTGACCCCTCCTCCCTTACAAAAATGGCAATAATCAAACTACAAACAGCAGATTCTCTGAGGTTTGGGCATCAAAAAGATTTAACTTCATTAGCAATTGGAAACCCAGACACTCCATAAGGGCCAGACAGATTCGTACTTGGTTCATTCTTACTGGCAGACTCAACACTCATTTATATGACAAGTTTTACTAACAATAAATACTGTTGAAGCTTTTAACATCACTCACAAGGGCTCTTGAATGTTTCATTTGTAATCAGACATATCTAATACGATATAATAGTACGGGGTTCTCTCAATTTCAAATCTCCGAACATGGTTTGAGCTCTGAAAAAAATAAGTTTCGGAGACACATGACCTTGAGAGAAAACGGTGGGCTCAGGCGTCCTGAAGTGATAAGAAAACGGACGCCTCCGATGGGGGACTCAATACAGAAGGCATAGCTACATGCTTTATGGGCTACTGAGCGTAATATAAATCGTCTAATTTTATGTTAACTAACATGTACGACCATGGTCATTACAATTCAGGGTGGTATGAGTACATTTATCCCATTTACCAAAACGTTCACTTTACAATCATGGATTGATCGCTCCTGCTCTCGTGCATGCAGGGAGAGAGATAGGGCATATCAAGCTATGAAACGATCTCCTTCTCCTATTACCCGCTCCTCTTTCATTACTTCTAGGAATCGTTGTAAGGCTATTATTCTTCGTAGGGCCAAGCGGAATTTTATAAAAAAAAAAGGCAGACCGCTGTCCTGACTAACTCTTCCTCTAGTAAATCCTTCTGGTTAACCAAAACATCTGTAATAACTTCTGCACTCCTTTTCCGACCTGATAACTCTATAGCCAACTCTCCCCCTGATAAAGCCAATCTCTTTGGCACCTTACTCTCCTCTAATTCCACATTAGACAATTCCAACTCTATCCCTCCTACTGAACCTATGCATTTTCCTATAATCTCCACTCGTAGGGTTGCTGGTGTGTTATCCAGGTTGGATGTGATTTGCCGAGGCTCTGGCCCCTGTGCTTGCTCGCCTCTTTTGCCTTTGCCTCAAAACCCAAACTTTTCCTTATTTTGGAAGCATGCCTTGGTTCAGCCCATCCCAAAGTAGGGCGACTATTATAATCCCTCTAATGCCCATATTATTAAACATCTTCCCTCTCTGACAAAGAGTCTTCTTGAAGGGATTGTTCTTTCAAGCGGTATTTTTAATTGCTCGAACCTTTTCCCCTTCGTGTGGGACCAAATAGAGTAGGTCTGGTAATACCAAAAACTATGATAAGAAAGACAGAAAAGCAAGGCAAAAACCAGGTAAGCCACATAGCATATAGTTGGCTGTGGGATCAACAGATGGTGTTTGTGTGCAAGGAGTGAATCATCTGAACCAAAGACTATAATAAGATTATAGTCTTTGTTCTAAAACAGTGGTTCTCAGTGGGATCCACTTGGAACTCTGGGGGCAGAATTTTAAGTCCAAGGGAGGAATTGAGGAGGATTATGTATAGTTTTCTGTGTGATGGCTCTCAAAAGGCAACTCTCTGGAAAGGTTCATTGCTCTGTACGACACCTTGTTGGACTTTGGTGGGGACCGTGATGACTATCAGTTCTTGAAATCCAGTGAATCCAAGGCCTTGATTTCATATCTTGCAGATATTTTGGTAAACTGAATGCTTTAAATAAGGAACTGCAGGGTAAACAAAAAAATTATTTTTATCTGCAAAACCAAAATCTGTGGTTTTATAAACAAACTGAACTTTTGGAGGACCCAGATCTTGAAGAATAATCTGTCCCAATTCACGCATCTCGGCAAATGTGAACCATCGAATGATGTCCTCCGAATCATTTCTGAACATCTTTCCAACCTGCATGTTGAGTTGAATGACAGATTTACCAATCTCAAACAATTTAACATTCCCTCTTGGATTACTCAGCCATTTCTTTTTAATTGCAAAAATAATGAGTGTGGCTATGGACTATGATCAGATCGATGAGTTGATGGACTTGCAAAACAATTTTTTTTTTTTATTATTATTTATTGGGCACTCCCCTACATCCTTGTGTAAGGTGAAGTGC